GCAGGGATCGCCGCTATCACCGGTCCTATACACCCTATACCTAGCTGAACTACTCAACCAGGACCGAAAACTCCGGTTCGGGTATGCCGACGACATCAACCTATACCGGGTCTCCCACTCTTTAGACGAGAACGTCGCACTGCTAGCAGAGGACCTCAAATCTATCAATGAATGGGGAGCTGCGAACAAGATCACGTTTGCACCAGAGAAACGGGAGCTGATCCACCTCACGCGCCAGAAAGGACTACATGCGCCGCCAATCCAATTGGAAGATCAAACAATTCACCCTATAGCCCCTGCGCAGGGGGGAAGCCAGACTGCGCTGCGCTGGCTTGGGGTGTGGTTTGATAGGGGACTAACTTTCAAGAAGCACGTCGCAGAAAGGGCGGCGCAAGCTAGGAAAGTAGCGAACCATCTCCGGAGCCTCGCCAACACAGCCCACGGCCCTCCAGCAGGATCGCTACGCAAGGCAGCCATAACATGTATCCTGCCCATACTACTATACGGAGCCGAAACATGGTACGAGGGCAGGACGAAGAACCCACGAATTGCAAGGGTTTCCCGTAAACCCACGGTCAGCACTAGGGTAGGCTGGCACCTAACCACGATAGATCAGGCACTAATAGCAGCCACGAAGGCAATCCTCCCTGCGTGGAGGACAACACCAAACGCAGTACTGCTAAGAGAAGCTGCGATGCCGTCGGCACAGGTGGCGCTAGAGGAGGCCAAGCTCCGCTTTGCAGTTCACCTACGCACGATAGACGACAAGCACCCACTTACTAATAGAACTACACTGCCACTAGTCATACGAGGACGCGCAGCGGGCAACCGACGGATACCAAGATCGAAGGTTCAGCGCGTAGCACAACTGCTACCCGCCACACCCCGAAACGTCCTAGCCAGCCCTCACTTTTCAGACGGGTCGAGGCAGGATCCAACGCAAGGGCAAGGAAAGGACATTGCTGCCCAGAATTTCACCATCTGGTGGGAGTCTCTTGGACAAGAGACAATCACTGTCTTCTCAGACGGGTCTGAACAACAAATCAACGGTACAAGGGTGGTCACTTACGGGTACGCTATATACCAGGGCCAGGCCGCCGTGGCGACTGGACAAGGCTCACTAAATGCCCTTAGCCACGTCTTCGATGCGGAGGCTATAGGCGCGTGCAGAGGACTCAAACACGCACTACAACTCTCACTGCCTAGCCAGAGGGAGATCGTACTTTGCATAGACAGCACTTCGGTAATATGGGGCATACGCGGAACCGCCCCTACCTCCTCCCAATGGGCGTTCCTCCAAATCCATGGAGCTATGGAGGCCTACAACGTGAAAACGCGGTGGGCGCCGGGACACATGAAGATTGTTGGAAACGAACTCGCCGACCAGCTGGCTGACAACGAGGCCAAAGACCCGCACCAGCCATACGGCATGGCCGCCTCCCCCACAAGATCCGGTATACGAACAGTAGGCCGCCGCCTCCTCGAACATACAAGGGACACTTGGTGGAAGGATAAGAGCAGTAGGCTATCAGCATGGTACACGCAATGGCAGCTGCCATACGATACTAGGCGCACGCCCGCAGCGCTATGGCTACCCCGAAGGATACTCGCGAAAGTCCTTATGATACGCTCAACGCATGGCGACTTTGAATGGTACCACCGAAAATTCAACCACGAGGATACCTCGAAATGCCTATACGGCAGGCCTAAGACGCTAGAACACCTAGTGTTCTGCAAGAGAGCCACAACACACTTCAAGAAGTGGCCTCTACGCCCCATCGTGCCCCCTCGCACAAGACAGGAAGGCCTAGCGTACCTCGCGCAATTAATAGACTAGCCACAAGAGTTCAAGACCTTTGTGAAGGTAACGAACTCCTTCTATGACGAGTGATTTCTATTTTTGAATTTCACAAAGACCCGCTGAATTCCTTGGCATTATTTAGTGTAGGATTCGCGGCAAAACGCCGCATAGATGCCACAACCCACACGCTCTCTTTTAAAACTTTTATTGTATCTTAAATTGCCTCTTGTTACTTTTCCGTTTCTCTCTCTAAAAAGCAGTTATTGTACTGCATCGATCAAAGGCGCAAGCCACGAAATACTAGAATATTGTAGGAAAACGGCTTCAAATGGCGGGAGTCCTTTTCACGAACATGTATATAGGCAGGACATCACTCCCCTTAGATACAAAACACCTAGGAATAGGTTCCACGAGGCAAGTGCGACAGCACTATAAGACCACGGCGGGACCCGCCCGAATACCCTATGGGAGGTTACAGATAGGGCGTTAAACCATAATCAACATCAACATCAACCAAAGCTCACATCACGTGGCCGCAACGTCAACCTCCCACAAAAATTTAGATAGTACAAGTTAATTGCAAGCACCTATTTACTGCAACACTACGTTTTTATGAATATTAAGCTACTGTGTGGCGTTGTACGGCTTCAAATTTGAGATCGCTGAGATGGTGTTCGGCGGGGCGTCTCGCGAATCCGGGCGTCTCGCGCACGGGCACGTTAGCGTGTTCTGGAGCACCATTGAATCCGAGGCAGAGACGCAGCTGCAAGATATCTAGCGTATGAAAGGGATGAAGTCATTTCCAACGTTTTATCTCACAATAGACATAGGTTCATGATAATTTATTATCTTTCACGTGGGTTTGGTTATGACGTGCCGGAGCTACGCAGAGATCCCGGATCCTAGAGCACTAACATGCCCGTGCGCATGATGCGCGGGGAACACCAAAACGCGTCCACCTCCATCATTTTCAACCCACGATAACTCCACCAATATGGATCCAATTCAAGCAGCAATTGAAGAAATCGAATCTCTAGAAGAAGGAGAACATTTTACCTATACAGAAGTTGCTGCGAAACACAATGTTGTCAGATCTACGCTGACCCGAAGGCACTAGGGCCAGACAAGCTCTGCGAACGATAAAAAAGCCAACCAGCAGAAACTCAACCCACAACAAGAGCTAGAACTTGTACGATATATAGAGAGTCTCTCAAAACGAGGGCTACCGCCTACGAGAGAGATGATCAAAAATTTTGCCTCTGAGGTCGCTCATCAGCCGCTGGGCGAGGCATGGATTACCCGTTTTGTCCACCGACACGACGTCCATCTCATCTCAAAATGGACCTCCGGTCTCGATCGTACACGCGTTCTGGCCGACTCTGAGGTCAAATATAGACTCTACTTTGAGCTGCTACACGGGAAGATGGAGGAGTACAATATTGAGCCAGGAAACACCTATAATATGGATGAGAAGGGCTTCTTGATGGGCCTCATTGGGAGAAGCAAAAGGATCTTTTCCCGACGTCAATGGGATAAGAAAGAGGTTAGAGCACCTCTTCAAGATGGATCACGTGAGCTTTTGACGCTGCTAGCCTGTTGTTGCGCAGATGGGAGCTTCTTACCGCCCAGCCTTATCTACGCTGCTGAAAACGGTGCCCTACGATCATCTTGGGTGGATGATATAAACGTAAAGAAACACCAGGTTTTTGTAACCTCAACACCAACAGGATGGAGCAATAATGACGTCGGTTTGGCCTGGCTTGAACAGGTATTTGATCGCCACACGAAGCAGAAAGCTCGCCGCGGGAGAAACTACCGATTACTCATCCTAGATGGCCATGGGAGCCATATAACAATGGCTTTTGTAGACTACTGCGATCGCAATCGTATACTCCTCATGGTGTTTCCACCTCATTTAACCCACACGCTGCAACCGCTCGACGTCGTACTTTTCAAGCCGCTCTCACAGGCCTATACCCAACGCCTCACCACCTATCTCCATGAGGCTCAAGGGCTCATCTCCATCGCCAAAGGTGACTTTTTTGGTCTGTTTTGGGACGCCTGGGTGTCTGTTTTCAGCAGGGAAACGCTCATCTCAAAGGCGTTTGAAACAACAGGAATATGGCCAAAAGACCCCAACGTCGTGCTCAAAAGGTTCACCCGAACGCCCAAACGATCACCCAGCTCATCAAGGCTCTCACCATCTGATTGGCTACAAATGGAGCGTTTAGTACGAGCTGCAGTGAAGGATACCCGCCAGGACGAGGCCAAAAAGTTGAGCCTTACCCTTCATCAAGTCTCTGTCCAAAACCAGCTTTTGCAGCATGAAAACAGGGGTCTACATAAGGCTCTACAACACCAAAAGAAGCACAAAAAGAAGGGCAAAGCCCTTGACCTTCAACAGCGTCAAGAGTACCATGGTGGAGCTATCTTCTGGTCTCCTCGAAAGGTTAGAGAGGCCCGTGCAAGGGAGAAGGTCAGGGCTGACGATGAGATGGAGGAGAAACTCCAAAAAGCTCGTCGTAAGGAGTCACGTGAGGCTGCTAAAGTCCAGCGTCAAATTGAGCTAGAGGACAGGCGTGCAGAACGAGAGAGACTCAAGGTGGTGAGGGAGAAGGAGAAGGCTGAGAAACAGGCTGAACGCGAGCGTCAGAAACAGCAGCGCAACGCTGAGAAAGCTATACAATTGTCCCAAAGAGGTAAGCGCAAAGCCTCACAAGCAGTCTCCTCTAAGGAGAAGCGTCAGAAACGTTCTGGTAGTGATGCAGCTGCTGGGCAAGCTGTTGCGCGCTCTCCATCTCCTCCACCAAAGGTGACGTCACGGGGACGCAACGTCAAGCTTCCAAGTAAATTCAAATAGTAAAAAATGATCGCAAGGTCTTGTTTACTAAACCACCAAGAAAGTTCGCGATAATAGCTATTGTACGTGTTATTATAGCCTCATCTTTGTGATCTTAGAAATGGTGTTCCGCGCGCATCACGCGCACGGGCATGTTAACACCAAAAACAACATACATGATGCACTACTGCACACTGCTTTTTGGTGTGCTGGCCATGACATGCAAGGAACATGGACTTGCAGCCTGCAGCCATGAATTCAAGCTCCGTGGGATCTGCGCATTTAGCACCCTCGTCCCACCGTATCGTCGGGATAGTCGGGAGAAGTCATTACCGACAACCTGGTGAGCAGACAAGCATGTTAGGGGCATTGAATTAGAGTTGTATTACTATATACGCGCTGAAAACATCATAATTGCTCATCTGTATGTTCATATCAAACACTCTCCCAGCCTCCGATCCTCCACTGGTATAATAACCGGAGTCGACAGTACCGTGGTATTGCGACAGTGCTGGCAAGCTTTTTCTCAAAAATGGAATGCGCTACAAACTCCGCCCAATGCTACGTAAGGAGTGCAAAATTTCGTGACGATCGCGGGTAAAAACAAAAGGTCGTTGGTGTCGTAATCTCAATGTCCGACTGCAGAGTAGTGTGAATTACGGGTATATGGTTGTTGCTGATATAGCGACGGGGTGTAGTCGGAGTCTTGATAGTAGGTGCCGCGCTTGTCCTCTTCTGGGAAGGATTCTTTGACCTCCCAGTTGTGTTGCTTGACGCCGACGGAAAATTCGAGATCTTCCCGAGTGATGGAGTCCCAGTACTAAATGGATATTAGCCGTGTCTACAAGAACAAATTTGATCATGTCGCATACCTTGTAGACCATCATGACTGCAAGCAAGTTGCAAATGGTGGCGAAGAAGAGGCCATCCAGGAAATGCTGTACATTGTCGCAGATGGTTTCGCTGAAGACGTAGAGGATAACTTGACCGATAACGAAGAAGAAGATGCCAAACAGGATGTCGCCGAGCGGCCAGCGGTCTTCCAGTGTGCCGATGACCAGTATTATCTGGCTGACGACATAGATGAAGAGGAAGATTGCGTTGACAATGTATGTAACAACAAAAATGCCAACAGGGTTCTTGGGATCAAGTCCAGCCCAGCTCTTGAAAGTCAGAAGGCTGACGGCACCACCAACAATAAACATGGTGAGCGAACAGAGTCGGAGCAGCCAGACAGAAAGTGTTGTGCCGTCTTCGTAGAGCTGGAAACCAACAAAGCCGTTGATCAGCAAGCAGGTACACAGGGCGGAAGTGAGACCATTCTGGACGGCGACAAAGTATGGGTAGGCGGCGGAACCGGGCGCAGCGACACCGGCGTCAACAACGAGCGATATGACGGTGAGGAGGAGGTAGATGTAGAAGAATGACGTGATTTCCTTTCGGCCTGTCGCATGTTAATCCATGTCTATTGCTTGTGTCGCATTGCGCAAACATACCGACAGCGGTAAACTTTGAGCGCACATGTATAATCATGATAACTGTCATTATCAAGGCCATGATATGCACAAAGTCGTTTGCAACCTCGAAGATGAGCGTGTTCGCAAGCTCAATTGTGCGGGCGTAGCACCTTGTCTGTATACCGACGCCATGGTTGATCTGCTGGGAGCCCACGAGGGCGCATATCGGTATCGATGCCTTTTCGCATATCGACTGAAAGTCGCCGAAGCCCATGTTGCTGGTTGTGAAACACTAGGCGTCGCTCTGGTTCGCGGCGGACTCGAGGCTCTGAATGGCGGGACGGCGGTATCGAAGTAGTAGTAGTAGTAGTGAGCGAGCGATATGTGGGTGCCTATCGAAGGTGCAGACGACTAGCGAGCGACAATCTGCAATAAACAGTAACGAGAGAAGGCGCGGTGGGGTGCGCAACGTGGGTCAGGGTACGACGGCGGTTGTCAGGAGTGAATGCACTGTTGACACTTGCCGAAACCGAACTAGCGCCGGCCCCAGACGATCCGGGCTAGTGCAGGGCTATTTGCGTCTCCATTAGCCATCACACTCTCCACACACTCTCCGCTGATGTCCTCATGGCCCAGCCATCTGCATCTCCAGGGCTCGCATCTGGGTGGAATGGAATACTTGATAGTGGGCAACTATTATGTGTCCCTGCCCAGGTGGCGCCTACAGTGGTCCTTGTACACTAGTGCGTCAAGTACATCATGTCACTCAAGTGCTCGCATCGCATCGCATCGCATCGCATATATCGCGGCCGAGCGCATGCGTTGTTGCGTCACTTTGCTTTTCACTGGGTAGAGTGACAAGACATAGTACTTACTATCGCCTTACATGTTGGTACGAGACGCCTAGTGCTTGCCGTACATTCTCGATGCAGATGAGGACAAACACCACCACCAAACTCTACGCCTGGTCCTCGTTCCTCTATATCGAGACCGGAATACCTGTGGATACGCCAGTGAAGGCCGCAATTGGGAAGACCGTGGTGGTCAATCACAAGGCGTGTTTTGGGAACAGCGTCATGCAACATACCATGGTACAGTCGACCTGAGGCTCTCAGAATCACCGCATCCAGACCCGTGTCCAAACTATACAACGACGCAGCAGGTTTGCCATCACAGAAACCCCTAGCTTGTAATGCAACTGCGCAGGTGATTCATGTTTGGTTTGCTTGTGGACAAGCTGGCTAAGTTTGGAAAAGAGCTGGAATTAAGATGAGATGGAATGGATTAAGATCTCTCATGTTTTTGCCATGACATCGCAGTACCTGTCTTATCGTACCATGCACAGCCGATAACCATCAGCGATTAAACCTGGTCTTTTGTATGTCTAGCCATCCTATACCTGTCTCTTTTGGTACATGTTCTGGTAGCAAGCTGCGAACCATGGTTTGCACCTGATTCTTGTGCTTGCGCGAACACAACTCTTGAGCTGCACTGGTCCCGCAAGCGCAAACAGCTGGATTGAGCGCGACTCCACATCACTGCCCACGATTAACGCTGGTTTGCTCCCATTCACCCAGAGTTATAACCTTCTTGTTCTCGTACCCGACCACTTCCACCAGTACTAAAGGTTCATATATATTCTCGGCTCAACTTGGAAGTCTTCACATCGTCACCACATTACACGACAGCTCCACCAACTCCGCCAGCGGTACTGTTGTTCGCCATGTCTGACGCAAAGCCTCTTGTTATAACCCATTTCACTGAAAATACCTCCGAAACCGACCACTATGCATATGAGAGTATGATCGACCGGATACATACATCAAACATGGCTGTGCCGTCGAGATTGACAGCTACTTCGGAACTGGATCCTGCACACCTGAACGGCGAGCGGCGGAATTTTGAGGCTCACCATATGCCCGTCTTTACTGCAGCGCCTCCTGCAGCACACCAGTATGACCATACACTTCTGATGGCGCCTTCAAATCATATGCCACGACTTCCACCGCAACTAGCAAGGACGCAGCCGCAGCTGAATGTACAGTCACAAGCCCATGTACAGCTGCAGTCCCATGCACAGCTGCAGTCCCATGTACGGCTGCAGTCTCATGTACAGTCGCAGTCCCACGTACAACCACAACCCCATGTACAGTCACTGCCGCACCTACAGTCGCAACCGCATGAACAGCCACAGCCACAAGTACAGCCGCGCCAGGCGCAGCCATCAACGGACCACGTCATCACCCGCGAGATGGTATGCGGGCGTATCTGGGCTCTTCTGAGGGACAACCTGACCTCATGGTGGTCCGACAACTCAGCGGCGATGAAGTGTGTCACCGGTAAGTTCTTCTGTACCCGCCCTATCTCATGCACGAGCTGACAATACCTGAACTAGATCGAATGAACCACGACCTCTTGTGCATGAATAAGCGCCTGGCCTTAGGACCCAAAGGTCTTTCCAGTGTCTCGGATATCTTCTGCTCCATCGGCCATCAGGGTATCTACCATTACATGTGCCTGGCAGTGAATCCGGGCTGGGGCAACGTTGTGATACTACTCAAGGGCGAGCTTTGTGACTTGGAAGGCAGGGATCCGATGCGTGACAAAGAGGCGATGCAGGTGTGCAGTGAGGGGTTCAGTAAGGAGGCGATGAAGGTGTTTCAGAACGCTGTTGCAGATACTCAGCGTAGGCAAAATCGCTAGCGGGGGTCAAGGATCGCGGTTGCTTTTGCGGGTGGATACGCAGTTGCCTCGTTTGGATCAGTCAAGGAAAGGGACGGCGAGAGCGGCGCCCAGTCCAGCATGTGCATTTAGAGTGCTAGCTCACTCACTCGTCACGGATGCGATATAGATGTTGAGATGCAAATCAAGGGCTCGATCAGGCAGTGATAATATGATTTTATATTATGTCACTAAATCTGCTGCTAAGTGTGGACGTCACTCATATACCTTAAGAGTAGAAACGATGACAGTACCATGGTGCTGCTGCGCATGATGAGGATGGCAAGTCATGGGGAGGTACTTATTTCGCGTCATCTGTCAGATCTTGTGGTCGTACTTTTGATATTTTGGTATATTAATACAGAATACGGATACTTGCGGTAGTAGTCCATGCTAACCGTAGACTGAAAAGGTGAACTCCGCCACTCCTGGAGCTAGACACCAATATTTGTAACTAGAACAACGAATTTCACAACTTCCTCCATCCGGTTTCTCAAACCAGTCGAGAATGAATCAGTTTGTTGAACCTCGTTTAGCTTCCTTTTCTGGTAATGAAAGGTACCAAAGCCCTGGAACTTGCGCCAAAGTACAAGGTCCCCTCCAGGAATCTTTTTTTACAAGTTTTGCCTCCTTAGATTCCTTGGGTTTTCCACACTAGAAAGAACACCCACATAGTGAAGGAAGTGTGGCATTCTTCAAAGCATCGTAACCTTCCAAACACACACCTCTTGATACACTATGGTGGATACGTCGACCCAGCGACTTCCTCGAGACGGAGGGCTTCGACTATCGGAAAGAATGATCACCATACTTCGGACTTCTGGTTTGTCCATCTCAGGGCCCTTTTTGCCGAATACCACGATCTTCTCGACGATGCGGTGACCCAGCTCTGTCCGATGGTCATGAAACATCCGCATTGTGTTCGCCCCGTTTGGAGTTCCTAAAATGGCATAATAGCCATTGTCCAGGCTAGTGTAATCGACCTGGTTATCTCCTTTGCTTCTTGATGAGGAAGAGTGCTTCGAAGCTTGCCTTATGGTAATTTGAGAGGCTTCATTGACGATGGTGAGACGGACAACAGCTACCAGATGTGAAGCCATTCGTCCAGCTTCGAGTGCCATATTCTTCCAAGATTGCCACAGCAATTCTGACGACCAAAGCATCTTTGTCCCCGGTGTGTTTATCCCTGGATTTGTAGTTTTCATTACATACAATGACTCCATGGGATGGGTCAAACCAGTTCGTGTATGCGGCGTCAAATTCCTTTTCTACACCGGCAGAGCAAACTTCGACGTATGTCGCGTTCGTAAATGAAATTCCGCAAGATGCTATCATGCTTCTGACGGCATTCTGGGCGTTGGAACGTAAACTCCCTGATATGGTCTGGTAACCGCGCAATGCGAGCGAGGCAGGCAAAGGTGGCTGGTCTCCGAAACTTGCTAGCTCATGGCGTAGCCGACTTCCGTTCGTAATTGCGACTTCGTAGACTTCAAAAGGTTTTGTGAAGACATTTTGCAAAACGTTACGGTGTAGTCTACAGATGAGAAAGCCTAGAAGGCGACAGTAAACACAACATCCTTCTTAGACGTAGAACCGCCCGTCGATACGAATCAACATATATATGTCGGCTTCAGCTGCTTGACAGAGTCGACTCGCCTTTCGGAGTAGGATAGTGAAACGGCCCTGGTGGTTTGCGGCGGGCAAGTATGCGTGTAAAACGTCTGTGGAGTTCTGCAGAGACAGTTAGCTCAACCAGTCTGTGTGCAACTTGATCATACCACTGCAAGCATGACCCTGCTATTTCGTCCCAATCCTGCTGTTATCCATCACGATCCTGTTGTCGTCGACCGTGGCTCCAACTGGCACGTCCCGGTGGTGAGGACATGGGCATGGTCTATCAACTGAAGGATGTTGTGCGTTTGCGATTCGAGTGGTTCTCGGGAGGATGTGGTATTAGGTAAATCACCAAGTTGCTTGAGAGTGTTGTGAAATCGTGTTTCAAGTAGTTGACGCTGGTCGCCCCAACAGCAAGTTGCCTGTGTGATTGGGACGGATGTGAGGGGCTATGGCGAATTGGACTTGATCGCTTGAAGTCAAGGTCGAGCTGTGCTTGATGTTCAAGTTCCGATTGTAGCGGGGTAGGAAGAACTAGTTAAGGGCGATGGGTTTCGGGAAGTTCCTACCCTATCCAAGAACCATGCGCACCTTACAACAACACTCAAATGGCTCAGCACGACTCCATGACTCATAGAGCGAGCGCGCATACTACACCTGGCTTCTGGGAATTCCCTGCGGCTGTGCACCGTCTGATTTTAGCGCGATGACACGCAGACCTCTCATGACGTAGTCATACTTGTAGTAGTGAGCAATCTAGATGCCAAGTGCTTGTACCTGTCTGCAAGCAAAACATTCTACACTGCCATTTAACTATCTCTAAAGCTGGTCGCTTTCTGCGTTCCTAACCCTGCCACTCAAGCGCCTCGTTGCTGTCCCTATGAAGTACCGTGGTACTCTTCCAGGTTGCCATACTTAGCGTACCAAAGTGAAGACCCAGTGCCCACTCAATTTGTTGAAAAACTTTATCTTGCTTTTCGTCTTCTCAAATTCTCTTCCTTCACCTCCGATACCTTCTGCCGTACAAGAACAATGGCCATAAATAATTCATGGGCGGACAGTCCATGGCGCAGTCCCGCGATTGTCTTTGAGGACCTACCAGAGTCACTCATCCTTGAAGACCTAAAACGATCATGGTACTTCCAGAGAGAGGCGCACTTCCGCTAGATGCAAAAATTGATTTGGACCTCGTTTGACCGCTATCGCATTGTCCTTCGTGACGTCGAAGGCATGGTAGGCGACATAGCAAAGGAGATGTGCAACAAGCCTACGGCAATCTATTGGCTTCTTTCTGCGCAGACAGGTATCCCCGAGAAGTTTGGTATGGCCGGTGGTATCTTTGCAACTATATATGAAGAATGGCATCGAAGCTCCATCAACCCAAATATCGAGTTTGGCCATTTCTTCGCAGCGCCCGTTCGAATTACAGCTACAGGCCCATCGAGCCTTCCACAGATCTTGCAGGCACATTCATCGCTTTGTGCCCAAGCACAGCACATCGCGTTGGATATGGATAACTATTCGGTGCATCCTCTCCTTCCTGCCGTTATCCTTGTATTCGACCGATGTGACTCAAGAGCTAGACGTGGACCAGATGGCTGCATCAGTCTTCGCGAAGTGGCGAGGATGAAGACTGTGCTAGTCATTCTTACCGGAACAAATCGAACCGGTACCCATGTTACTCTGGATCGTCTCAAACCATTCGCTCTGCCCATAGAAAGAGCCGATGCCACTGGCCTTGATATCCTGCGAGTGCCTGTGGATATCGCTGTCAATTTTGTCACCGAGTTAGAGGGTAGGATCGATGAGCAAAAGGAAACCAGCGGCCAAACTTTACACAGGAGTCTCTGTCATCACGACACACCCGTCGGATACAATCGTGACATCATTTATGATAAAAACATATAGGCTCAGACAATGCTAGCAGAGGCTCAGAAGATTGGGTTTAAAAAGTTGGAGGATACGAAGTATGCTGCCGTACACGTTCACGCACACGCACACCTTTCCGGACAAGATTCAACCTGCGAACTAGAACACATACTCTTCGGCCAGATGTGGGTACCCTGACCTCACATGCGTTCTTGGTTGATCTTTCCAAATGGGATCGATGCACACGCTGAGTGCAAAGCTTGAGATTGGTTTTATTGGCAGTGGTGAAAGAGCTGCAATGTTTGAAGTGGTCCAGTGACCCAGACGAGGTATCCTCGAAAACATCCGCAGACAGCATGGAAATGTCTCGCATGTGGCCTGCAGAATTTGACCCGAATAGGTTAGAGACTGCGGTCGAGCCGCCACCTAGGTGCCGCCATCACTGTTGGATCTAAGGATGTGACAAATGACAAGGGTTACGACTTGTTCACGAGATATGTAGCCTGGGTCCAGGTCATGGAATTCACGTTTCTCAAAGCGAAATTGAATGTCTCTCCAAAATAAGCGATGGTGAATGCCGTGGCAGGGGGTATCGGGATAAGGACGCACAGGTGGAGGCGAAATACGTTAGACAGGTGTCTGCGGTGTCTGTTGGCAAATAAAGCACTGGTAGTGTTGGTGAGATTTGACGGCTTAGTAGTATTAGATCACAATGGAATGCGGCTGTGACATGGCTCGGAGCTTCACATGTTAGTATTCATCCTCAAATAGTCCTACGAAATTACCAAAAGAATGGCATCTACATGCGCCTGTGCTTGCATGCGATACTTCTCCAATGCCTGAATAAAGGATGAAGGGCAAAGCCTTGGTGTGTTCTACTAACATCAATGCTTGTCTTCGTTTGGGTGCAAATGCCGATGTGGTCGACATCACGACCCACACAGGTGAAAGGTTCGCCAACAGGTGAGAGAAATGCCACGCCCCGCAGCTGGCCGGTAGAAGTGCAATGATATTACCTCTGTCGCTCAAGATAGAGCTAGACCTTTCAAGGTCGCAGACTAACTCTCACCCACCTACACTCGGTCGCCACCGACACGAAGCAATCAAAACAACCTCCAGACCTTTGCAGAACCCAGAGCTACGACGCAGATGGCGAGCATGTTGACACTCAAGATACGCCCGGAGCTGTTGGCGCTGTTTCCCTCGAAAGATGACATGCTCTGCCGCCTCGAATGCGCCCTCGATAAGCTGCCGAATCTCCCCAAGTACAAGCACAACAAGCTTCTTTGTAAGTATTCATCTCTACAGCCTTGCACCAGCTAACCCCAGCCGCAGTCCAACTTTGCTTCTTACTCCGCAGCCCGTCATTCCTCTATACTATGACTCTGCGAGTACGAGCCGAGGACCGAAGACTCGAGCCACTCGCAACCAGAATCCAGACATCGCAGTCGCTACAAACTAAGCAAGGCGGCCATGATTCTGAGCTACCGATAAAGCGTATCAACGTCGCAAAGCTCAACATAGAGGTCAAGTGGGAGGAGGACGGCAACAGCTGGGTGACGCGGCTCCGCTACGGTGAGAGCAACCTTATCGAAGGACGACATCTCCGAACAACAAAAGACGCAGGCTTCGTTCAGAGCTTCAAATGGTTCTGCGAAGAGGTGGAGTTTCTGTATTACGAATACAGGTCTCATGGATGTATTGCGGAAGAGACACTGGGCCCAATAGCCAAGAGGAAGATAGATGCGATGGAGCTGGATGAGACGGAGCGTAGTAAGACAGAGCATGGTGAGATGGAGCGTGGTGAGACAGAGCATACCGAGATAGAGCGTGGTGAGACTCGAGCATTGCATCAGAGCGGTACGAAGAAGCACATTGTTGTGCTGAAAGTTAGGGTAGTTTTCACACATGGAGAATGGGCTTTGAAGTCTAGGAAGAAGTAGAAGGTAGAGATGTGAGTGGAGGTAGAAGGATTCTCAGCTTAGAATGGGTTCAGGGAAACAAGGGCGTTATGATGGGGTTTCTGTACCTTCGTGGCATACATTCCCATAGTCTGTATTAGGCAGCGTCACAGCCTGCAGGGCAGAACAGGAAATAATTCTAACATGTTAAGTAAGCCTGGTTTTCATGCACCTCGTGCGCATCATGCAAACCTCTTCTGAACTTGATTTCGTGAAAATTAGGGCAAGATACAGAACCCCAGAACATCGCAAACTGTAAAGCATTAACGCGCTCACCAGAGAACTAAGAAAAGGCCCTTGACCTTGGTCTTAATGCCATGTTGCTGAGTCTGTAATGAGGGGCGCGATGCTATCTAAGGAGTCAGAACACTTGGTCCGGTATATCGCGCAGGTGTAGAGAAGTCTGGTTTTCGAGTATCTTGTATTTGAGGTGTGTGTTGTACAAGGATCGAGGAGACACCTAGTACGGTACATTGCGCAGGCGTAGACAGTCCGATTGTCAAATCTGCTTGTCAAGTATCTTGTGTTCAAGGTTTTTGTTGTAGAAGGATTTAGGTTGCTTCAGAGGAACAGATCCTACACTTAATCTGAGCCAAAAAGGAAAAAAACCCCTGCACCATTGGTCTAATGCGTACATTTGTAGTTGTAACAAGCTTCTCTTGCATAAGCCAGGAGTAACACAATACGCTCGTTTATGCTATACGCAGGCCTGATATACATACAGCCCTGTGGGGATAGAGTAAACTCGATCGCACGATAGTTTCTGCAGCACAAGCACAAGCGCCATTCTATCCCACAACGATGATGTTCCACGGCTCAACCGTCCGACTGCCGTAGTACTCCCGGAGTTTCGCCGCTGGTACCGGAGTGCTGCCGGTGGCAGCAGCCGTGCGCTCTCTAGCGTCATCACGTGTGGTCTTAGCGTGCCAAGCCGATTGCGAATATATAATCTCATCGCGCCCCGTCCCTCCTCTTCCTTCTTTAGCTCTCTTTGCCTTTTGGCTTAGATCAAGTGTAGTATCTGTTCTTTTAAGTTTAATCGCTTAAATTCCTCCACGGAGGTTTTTCGATTACTCCAATTTTTGACAACGGTTCGAGGGTCACTGGGCTTGCTCATACCCTAGGACACAGTGTCCCCTGTATTGCACCATCTCAGGGCGACGCGACTCATTTTTCATTGAGACTTCTAGCTTGTCTAGTTGCTTGAGGAAGGATGCTACCCACTGCCTTCATCGTCAGCACAGAATCGCAAAGACTGATGTCTGCCATCCGGAAAGTCATAAGGTACTTCACATACTCATGTACAAAGCCCGCTATAGTTGTCAGACGCCGCTTCTCGCCAGCCCACTGCTGCCTAGCCAGCCACCCGGGTGTTATGAAATACTCGACATATCAGTACAAAGGCCACTGTACTCGACAGACACGCCTACCCACTCTGGCAAGTATTTCATGCCATCTAGGTTTGGCTACCTTGGTGCCTTGATACATTGCTACATGCTTGAGCGAGAATGTATCGTGACAGCATGTTGGCAAGTCACTCCCTCAACTGACATGCGTGTGCGCTTCAAGCCGCGCCAGCGCAACATGCACCTGGGTGGCGTGTTTGATTCCTTGGTCGGCGCGTTTGGCATCTAGCCTTTGTACCCAGGTGCACAAGTATCATTTGTTTGTCTACCAATTCTGCGACGAAATTCGGGATAATGGTCCTCAATCTACGACGTTGCAGAAGGGCTCGGTCAAATTCTTTTCTTACTTGCTGTCGGCCTGTGAGATTGATCGGCTCTCACACCGTTCTCTGACTGCAGGTTAAGCACGCCCATTGCTCATAATTTTTGATACAGGGCATACATGCGGTAATTAGAAAATTAAAGTTAAGTTTTCATTGTGCGCAGTTTGCTAGCCATGGTAAGGGAGGTGGCGACGTAGAGAGTCGTAATGCTTAAGCTTCACAGCTTGCGCGCTTAAAACAAGACGGTAGATAGTAGTACTGTTGGTGGCATCGCCTGTCTATCTAGTCTTCTGACCCCGTGGATAAGTTGATTGGCTTGCATTGCTGCTGTTGGTGGAGATAGACTCGATTTTGCGATGTAATTGCTTTCCAAGTCATGATGTCCGGAACGCCCTGGTGCCTACCCTTGTCCTTGTCTGCCACTGCAAATACCACGATAGGCTGGTACCCGGCCCCCCCCCCCAACATATCTGGGTGGATTGCTACGATTTGGTCTATGCACATTTGCGGCCAACGGGTCGATGGTAGCCAATTGGGTTTTGCGCCGTTGGCAGTATCGCCGAGCCTGATGCTGCCGATTGGTCATTCATTCGAGATCTGAGTGCCTTGCGCATCTCCCACATGGACAAATTTTCCAACATCATTTTGTGCATGCTCATCAATTGTAGGACAAATACTCATTGAGAAGACAAGCAGAGCAACACCAACTGTCAAACCTCCCACGCTCACTTTGCAGGTCAGCCTCGGCAGTAAGAACGAGAAAGACCAGCTATAAATACCGCTGTACGTCCTTGAGTACGTAGTGCTCACCAGCAAAAAAAACGATCTGAGTCCGAAAGATGCATGTATGTGGGTCAACAGTATCCGTGGTCTAATCAACGTCAAACATCCGGATTACTACCGTTTCCGAGCTGACAACAGTCAATCAGAAGCGCGATCAGAACGCATGTTAGCTGCGGGTCATCTTAGAGGTGAGCTTGATGCTTCTTGTTTGACTCCAGTGACATTCAATCTCAGCGCATCCTAGTGTATTGCCGATCACTTATCATGGGATATTGTGACTAGTTGCAACGTTCATGTGGTACCTCTAGCACGTGTATACGGTATAGGTTGCCGTGATATTACATGACTTATGAGTTTTATGTTGGAGAAGGTATGTATCCTCATCGTACTAATTCTAGACCCATCAATACGAGATATTCCTGCGAATAATTGTTTTAGTTACAGCATGTGGTATACACGTGGTATAGAGAGTCTAAGCCAGTGGTGGTGGTCAGAAACGCCGAGCGTTGGATGCCATATCCCCGCTTCAAATTAACGTCATACAGTTCCATAGGATAGAGAAACGATAGCGAGGTACGCAGCTTGACGTGCGAGATCAGCAGATTGACGTGCGAGGTCAGCAACTTGACGTACCGGACAAGACAATATATAAAGTAGCAGAGCACTCTATTAGTAGCGATAATAAGCTCATAAGACTCTAGTTCTTCCAAACAACAACTTCCAAATCTATTAGTCAACGCAGTGATGCGCTCGTTTACTACCGCCATCGTGCTCTTGAGCATCTTTTCTGACTTCACCTCTGCCCACCCCTCTTTTCTCAACTCTCGGGCCCAATCAAAAACCGTCAAGGTCCCCATCGAAGACCTCCTCAAAGGCTCTACAATCGAACGCAGCGGGAAAGGCGACGGGACAATCTACTCATTTTCCGTTCCTGCTAAGAAACCTGTCTCTGCACGCTCCGAGTCTGAGTCGGACCTTGTCAAGAGGATTGGCAATCCATGTGCCAATGACCCATGCTGCACGATTCTTAGCAACCCGGATACCTTCAAAAAGGAATACCGCTGGGAGCTCAAAAACTGGTCTCAGCACCTCGGCAAACCGCAAGCCATCTCGCAACCCATTTGTCCACCAGGCAGCGTGACAAATTCGAGAACGGTGTCCTATACGTGGTCAATCAATGTCAACCTTGGGCCAGACCTGAAATTTGGGCCGTCCATCTTGGACAAGTTTGGCATTCGTGTCGGCTTTGCTTATAGCTGGGGGTAAGTTCTTGCGCAAGAGGGCAAATGTGTGCGTCACTAAACACTGACAATCAATTGACAGCGAGGCTACGACTGTTGGTTATACAGCCCTATGTAGCGATGGGAACGACTTCCCCTGTTTTGCCTATTTCACACCGAGAATCGGTAAGATCTATGGTACTGGATGGGTAAGTTTTCAAGCCTACGCTGTATGAGGAATCCAATCTTCTAACGCTCCTATGCATCGTTAGATTGAAACCATGGGCACTGACGGTAAAACGATCTGTTCCAAAACGGAGAAGTCGGAAATGGAGATCAGTGTACCAATTCTCAAATCCGACGTATGCAAGGAAGGAGCAGTCTCCAAGAATCCATGTGGACCAGAGGGTAAGCCATTCCTCCTTTTGTTCTGCGACGGCGTGCTATTATTATTGCTCCTGTACATTTTGTTCGCATTGGGGACTAACAGTATGTCTGCTAGGCATCTATGATCACTGCTACGTAAAGGGAGAGCAGGCAGAAGACCTGTGCCCTCGTAGTGGCTTGGGCAAAAAAACCCCACCCACACGAATCTGTCCCTCTTCGGTCATGGAAGGGGAGGGATCAGATTAATATATTGGGCATGCGCAGTTTCTCTTAGCGAGATATTGTATATACCTTTATTCATGTATTTAGCATAGTCATACAATATGAGGATCGAATTGCTTTGCTTCGATCTATCGGATTCAACCAAATGATTATTTTCAAACTGCACACATGCACCCTGAACTGCCAATCTTGAGAGCTCACAAAAACCAGATTGGTGCGATCATCTTGTCCATAAAACGACAAGGAGGAAGCCTTACATTATGTGCTCGAGTATGATATCGACTATGCTAAACTGTGGTACAGGCAACTCAACGATCCGTCTAGACGACTAAAGCGATGCCACGACCTCACGCTCACAGCACCGTATACACTTTCAGAAGGATACACGTGGTTGTGGTCAGCGTTCGCTATTCTTCGTATCGTATCCTTCCAACCGTCTATATCACGTCCTTCGGAGCGGCCCATCGCGCACAATCACACAGTTTGCTGACCGAAGCATACGGGATCCTTATTGGGATTTACTGCCTAACGCGCGGTCGAGACGAGAGATAGGTTTAACCATGGGGTATAACGGTCCACATTGCTACTTGTACATCAAACGCATCTCAAATCATAAATCATCCACCGGCAAGTCACTGTACTTACAATTCAATCACCAATCGTAATCCTCTCTCGTTCTTCCGTCAAAGCGGAAGAGACATGGCCCTTCGGCCTTGTCCCAACTTGCCCTGCTTGTTCTTGGTATTATCAAGGCACTTGCACCTACAACACGCGCCTTTCTCCACCATATTCAACCTGTCCCAAGTTTTAAGGACTATGTCGTCGGTATATGCCTTCGCTGCCACTTCTGTCTCCTCTTTATCCTCTGCTAGGTGCTCTTTGAGCTCCGCCAACTTCTCATTGCACTCCTCGTTGAAGGCCGCGATGTGGTCCTCTTTGAGCGTGGCGATCTCAAGCCTGATATCAACGAGGTCATCTTCGAACTCATTGCGCGCAGAGTTGTGAAGCTCAGAAGCTTCCTCGACGGCGTCAGTGAAGAGTTCTTGGAGATGGGTCTTGGTATAGGTGCTAAGAACAGCTCTAACGACTGCCGCAGGTGTGGGCTTGTGGCTTGTGGTTCGATGGTGCTGCGTGAGTGTGTTCGCGATCTGGGTGGAACGTGGTGTTGGTGACGACGACGGGGAGGGGCCAGTAAGCATTCCTGGAAGGATGTCTTGGAGGATGCTGGGAAGCTGTGCGCGCAGCAGATCTGGGAGCACCTTCTCGATGGCGGATGTGACGATGTCTTGGAAAAGGTCTACTTGCACAGTAGCAGTGGACGAAGCCGTGGAATTGGCGCGTTCTAGTGGCGAGGGCGCGCATGTAGGATCTTGAAGGAGGCGCTTCGGTGGAGGGGAGTCTGGTGTCGAGCTACTGCGAGCTAGGGTATGTGCGTTAGCAATATGTTAGCGCTGTGCGATTAACAGACTTACCCTTCCTCGAACGCTTGCCCGACACATGCGCGTATGAAGGCGGGGCGTCAAGTAGCGCGTCTTCAATAGAAGGTACAGCCTCGTCTTCAGTGGAAAGACAGGCTCGAGACTTGGCATCCTGGATAGAGTCGATAACAGACCAGTCGACTTGCTGATACAAACAGGCGAATTGGGGGATAGCCGGAACCCCAGTGGGTTGCCGAGAACCCTCGACAACGCTCTGCAGCCGGGCGAGGTTGCTCTTCCCAAGCCACTTGATGTCGAACAAGATGCGTACTTCTGTTGCCCTAGCCAGTGTTAAGAACTCGGCAATGCTAGTGTGGCGGCTGTACACTTCATTGACAAGACTGTGAGGGAACCACACAGAACAGGGTGCTTTCAGCGACAGCAAGAGCGTTCGGAGCTGAGGTTGCCCCTGCCGTGCGATCACGTCCAATGATCCTTCCGGGAGAGGAATAGCAATGTCCCTAAGTGACGTCTTGCCTAGCATAAGATTGTCACCTTCATAGCGGAGGGTGAAGGGCTGCTTCTCGTGAATGCCATGGATTGAAATAGAGTATTCTAAAGACACGACAAACTGGGTGTCTGAATACAGTATCTTGAGAAAACATGGCCATAGTGCAGACGCATCATTCACCGAGTATGCCAAGGCGGGGACGCCTTCGTTGCGAACGAGGTTATGTACCATTTTTCATTAGTTCTTTCTACAGTAAGTGTACTTAACAAATAATGCCCCTTTGCAACGAAGCAGGCGATATACAACGGCAAAGGAAACCCACCCACCCGGGCTTTCGCGTCGGTCGCAAAGAGCAGCCCTGACTCTGTCGCAGCAGCAACAACCCTCGCCACGTGATGGGTCACTAAGCCCGCCTTCTTTACACTGCCTGTGACTTGCTAGAGTATCGCCCCGAAGATGCGCAAATCGGAACGCGTAGACGCGCCGACCCACTGTGTCAAAGGCCTTGAAAGGATAGCGTACTGAGGCAAGACGCCAGGCAGGCAAATAGAGCGGTTTAGTGGTTGACCACGAACGAGAATCACGTGCGTAGGTGTTGAGTATGGGAGATGGAGGGGTGCAAAGGAAGGTAAAAGTTGTGGGGGGGGGGGGGGGGGGAAACCAGGGCGGGGGTAGTGTGGTAAAAAGGGGGAATGGAGGTGGTTGGCGTTAAGTGATATAGTGGTTCGCGGCGGCCTTGGGGCTTGGCATTGCGCTACGCTCAAAGCGGACGCGCAGCAATCACCCACTGCGTGGACTCGACAATCCCTCGCTCACTGTACGGAATTTCTATCACTATCTGCCCCATGCGACTGACGCAACTACCTGAAACATGGAATTCTTGACATGCACATATATTGTAGGCCCCAGATATGCCTATAGTATTCGGAATAACAGGTTTCACTCACGTTGTCGCTGGCAAGTAGTGCCACTGCTGTGCGAACAATGTACATGTGTGAGGTTGCCGTGATAACAATAGACCCAGAATGGGCGTAGAAACTCATGATGAGTGTATGAACGCCAGTTGTAGCGTGTCGAAGTGATTCAATTGTACCATGAGCGACGCGTAGTTGCAGATGAGAGGAGCCGATTTTCGCGTGTTTGCTATGTTAGTGGCGAGCACCTCGTCTTCTGCCACAATCAATCTCAACACTTTCTACAACATTCTCCCCATACCAAGGCTCGTCGTCAAAATGGCGTCACAGTCAGGCATGGTCAACCAGGCCATCTTCCAGGACCTGCAGGCGCGCATTGATGAGGACACAGCGGTCAAGGACGTGAGTGGCAGGTAAACCAGCTGCACGTGACAGCGTACTGACCACGCGACAGGAGCTGCGAGACATCATCCAGGCGCTTGAGAAGCACAGTAAGCGCTTCAAAGAAAGCTCTAGTACTGAACTAACTGTTATAGACCGCAATGTCTCTTTCGTGCTTTCAAGAGCCCATTCTACACCCGTCGCTGACTGTCAGTAACTTCTCGCGCCTCTAGACCACACGCCTAATCATCGCATAGTGGCTGAGGTCCTCAAAGCTGCTCAAGAGCCCGTTGACAATGTTGTTGATACAGTGTCCAAGCTGTCGCAAGCTGCGTCGAAGATGCCATACTACAAGTTCAACAACATGTGGAGTCGGCAGATGCAGGGCGCTGTATGACCTCCACTCCAACAGCTTTCTCTCCACGATACTGACAGTACTACAGTGTGAGAGTGCGCTCATCTGGGGCTGGCTCGGCGGTTACAAGTACGAGGGTGGTGATGTTCAATGCGGACGACTTTTGACCATCGAGGAGCTTGGCGAGATTTTCAAGAGTATGCTTACAATCTCAAAAGAGCAATATGTAGCTGACAAGGAAACAGTTCCAGTCAATCTCAAAGACCGTGACGAGTTCCATCTCTCCCTCGAAGAGTACCTCCAGTCCCTCATCACACTCGTCGAAGAGCTAGTACGTCACCCATGAACTTTCTCTGTATTCAGACTAACAAAGACAGACCCGCCTCGCACGTAACGCCGTCACTCTGGGTGATTACGAGCGTCCACTTCTCATCAATCAATTCGTTAAGGACTTGCACGCGGGCTTTCAGATGCTTAACCTCAAGAACGACAGCTTGCGCCGCCGTAGCGATGGGCTGAAGTACAGGGTCAAGGATGTGGAGGACGTAGTCTACGACCTGTCACTCAGGAACTTGGTACCGAAAAAGGGCGATCAGAAGCAGTAGGTAGATCATCAAGGACACGTTCTTGCGAATAGTCTAGTCCAACAGGTCCGGGCTGTAAGAAATGAATGAAATAACGTGCCACAAGAAAATTCCGTTTCCGTAGAGGTCTAAAGTCTGCTCCAACAATGGCCAAGTCATATGCATCTCTCACGACCATATGTGTGCTCGACGAGTGGGTTGTCGGTCCAATCAGCGGAGCACGGACAACAACTCGAAACTTACCGTTCGGCGACGTTAGCAGCATCCACGACAGCGACACCAGGCCAGGCGCCATTTACGCTCCTTTATACGCTTCCGCCTAGAGCCTATCGCCAATTGGTGTCCCCTTAACTTTTTCAGCCTCTCACCGCACCTATTCGTCACGTTCTCATCGCAGCCATGGCCAGCACAACCGTCATCAACGCAAACGCGACGTCGAAGCTCCAGCCGTCCACGGCACCACCAATTGAGCCCCTCAAGAACGAAACGGCGCGTCTTTATACCCACATTCATCCGATACTCGTCCTATCCGTATATGCCTTCAAGTTTCCCGCTTTGGTCGCAGACCCGGTGCCGACGCTTCTTACCACACTCGCACCACTCGCTGTGCTACAGGTTGCGTTTGTAGCAGTATGCCTACCTCCCACGGGCGGGACACCCACAATGCGAAAGCAGAAGCCGGGTGAAAAGAAGGGCAAGGCGCCTAACAAGCTGGAACAAGGGTTGAATTCTAAGATTGTCGTACGTACACCTGTTCACAGTGCCCAGCCGGGCCGGGAAGAGGTATCTGGAAGAGACTGAATACTAATTAAATATTACAGCCGGCTTTCCTATCGCTCCTTCTTGCCGCCTTCGCCGCGACTCCCCTCTTCACAGCAACTCTCATCCTATTCGGCGCGCCCGTCACCACGCATCACCTACAAACCCTCCTTTGTGGCGCCCACGTTGCGCTTCTGAGCACATTGCCTTTGGTATACGTACATGGCGTAGATGGCGAAACCTGGAGGCAGATCATTGCGCTCCTCTTACCAATAGACGAGGTCTATGGTGGGCTGCTAGGAACGGTGCTTGGAGCCTGGTTGGGTGCTGTACCGATTCCGCTGGATTGGTAAGTCAATCGAACCTCTTAGTAGCGTAGCTCAAATACGAATCATGTATGAGGAGACATGGCTAACGGATAACAGGGACCGCGAATGGCAAAAATGGCCCGTCACAATTGTTACAGGAGCGTACATCGGATACGCAGTCGGCAAACTGCTCGGAGGTACACTGTTGAAGGGAAAGAAGATTATGTTCGACTAGGGGAGCGTGGGCGAGATTGATATGCTTTGATTCCATTCCGGGTCATTTCCAGCCTTAGGTTCAAATGACCGAGGCAGACAATGTTGGGTACAAATAGGAGCGACCTGTTCCACATTGATTCGGTCCGCCTTGCTGCTAGCTAGGAGCATAGTCGAGATAGTGACGATGTCAATAGATTGGATGAATAGAACCCAGGCCAAATCTCGGCATGGCTCAGGCTCGTCACAAACAAGCTTGCTCTCGCCTAGGTGTCATACAATACTTGACAGTGTGGAGCACCTACTAGGCGTGCCTGGCGACTACAGTGGCCTCTGTACACTAGTATGTCAAGTATTTTATGACACATAGGTGCTCTCCAGGGCTCAAACGCATTTGATGGCCGGATAATCCAAGTACAACTAGCCAGACGCAGCTGCCATTAGCGTTGCGGAGCTTGGGCCGAGCCAGCGTACCGTCCACAATCCATCAACCCACCCGGAATGCCCAAATAGGCAACTCCGGCGCAAACATACACTTCGTCGACAGATTGCCCAAACAAACTTATCTAAAAGCAGTATACGCAAGCTCAGAAACGATACTGACGTTGTGGCGGTCCGACGGACGCGTCGATTAGCGTGGCCTGAGAAAAGTCTAGAGACAATTGGAGAGACGTGTGGCATGAGCGGGGTCGCCGGCGATGATGTTAATTGAGCGCGGGGACTGCGGGGACTGTGTTTAAAAGGCACGATGCCCGGCTGAATAGCAGGCTCAATACCTTTTGAAATCTCTCTGCTCTTCGATCTTGTGGTTTGTCTTTTTTACGTGTGCTGGTGAGCGTATTTGACTTTGAGGTTAGTATTCAGATAGTCACGTCTCAATTCTCGTGAGTGGTCCTGTAACTGCACGCGATGTGCATCTTTGATATGGAACAACTTTGCTGACGCTAAATAGGATACAGAACATATTATCCATACATATCGTCTCCAGCGGTAAAAGATGTCGAGAAAACACTTTTTTCCAAACCCCGAAGGCGTGGTCCTGCACAATCTACGCTCACTATGCACACGCAACACGCACATGGCCCTCGATGAGGCCAACCGCGTAGTCTATAACCTGTCACATCCGCCTTCCGAGGTGACTATCGTTTCGGGTGGTGGCTCTGGCCATGAACCCGCGTGGTCCGGTTTCGTGGGCGATGGCATGTTATCGGCTGCTGTATGCGGTGACATCTTCGCTTCTCCGAGCACGAAACAGATCATGGCTGGTATCAGGAACGTACCGAGTAACGAGGGCATTATACTATGTATAACAAACTACACGGGAGACATGCTGCATTTCGGCCTAGCAAGAGAGAAGGGTCAGGCTTTGGGATACAAAGTCGACGTTGTGTGCATGGCGGAAGACGCGGCCTTGGGGCGCGAGAAGAGCGGCAAGGTAGGACGGAGAGGGCTGGCAGGAAACCTACTCGTCATCAAACTCATCGGCGCGGCATCACAAAAAGGATGGGCGTTCGAACGGTGTAGGAAAATTGGTGAACTGGGCAACTCTCAATTAGTCACCATCGGCGCGAGTCTTGACCATTGCCATGTTCCCGGAAGAGAAGCATTTGAGAGTGTGCCGGACAATGCTTGTGTGGTTGGCATGGGCATTCACAATGAGCCTGTAAGTGCCGGCCCAGATCGTTAAATGACTGGAGCTCATACTGATTTCCTGCAGGGCCTACGGACCATCTCCCCCATGCCCAGTCCTGAAGACGTTATCAAAGAGATGCTTCGATACCTCCTCGACCCCTCCGACTCGGACCGCGCATTCGTCACCTTCAACCCCAACGACAACGTTGTGATGCTTGTCAACAACTTCGGCGGGCTTTCGAATCTGGAATTCGATGCGATGGTGAATCTTGCCCTCATCGCCTTGAAGCGCGACTGGAAGATTGTACCCACACGAATCTACGCTGGTGTGCTGGAGACGTCGCTGAACGGCCAGGGTTTCAGCATAACTCTCGGTAACATGAGCGGTATGGCGAAAGCCATGGACCTCAAGGACGAGGAAGTCATCGCTTTGCTAGATGCACCGACGAACGCTCCCGCATGGCCAAAGAACGGATACCAACCTCTCAACATCAACAAGGAGACGGAAGAGCTACGCAACAAAGCCAACGCTGCGGCCGCAGATACATCAGCTCTCCACAAGGGCCCCGCAACACCAGCCTCCCTCATCCCCGCGCTGCGAAAAGCATGCAAAGCAGCGCTAGAAGCCGAACCCACAATCACACAATACGACCTACAAATGGGCGACGGAGACTGCGGCGAGGCCGTCGCAGGCGTATGCAAGAGTATCCTCTCCAACATCGACGCCGTAGAAAAGAACCCCCCGCCCATCCTCGCGCTCCTAGAAAGCATCGGCGAAAACGTCGAAGACGTCGGCGGCTCCCTAGGCGCTATCCTATCTATCCTAGTAACCGCCTTCACCAATGCCCTCGCAACCGCCACACTCACGCAGAACGCACCACTGGATATTGCCACCCTATCCGCTGCCGCTGTTACTGCGCTCGAGAACCTCAAGAATTACACGTCTGCGCGCGAAGGCGATAGGACCGTCATGGATGTGTTGATTCCTTTTATCAATACGCTGGCTGAGAGCAAGGATTTGGGAAAGAGCGTGGAGGTTGCCGAGAACAAGGCAGATGCGACAAAGGATATGAAGGCAAAGTTTGGGCGTGCGACATATATTAGTGAGGATGGGAGTGACAGAAGCCGGATTCCGGATCCGGGGGCGTATGCGGCAGGTGTGTGGTTGAGGGGGTTGGAGGCGGGGTTCAAAGGTTGACGAACTCCTTGAGCGAGTCAGCATTTCTGTTTTTAGTGCCGTGAATGTTACGATGCAATTGCTACTGCAGCAATGTTGTGATACTTACCATCCTCCCGGATGATCACACCTTACAGTACGACTGCCCTTGTCTGATCAATACAAGTAAAAGGTCAAGCTACCGTATCAGACAGGCATTTGGCATGACTGTAGGACCAAATCCTCGGTATACCATCGTCCAAGGATCCTTCCGCCCCTGCAATTTTACATAAGCGCCAAGTTGAAGAGAGGAAACCATGTGACGCAATCAAAAATCTGCAGGCGTCGGGTATGAACTCAAGAGTATATCATATGTATGAACATCGTGGCCGATGTCTGTCTCCATGAGTTCGAGTCATTCCTATCTGGTCACCGAGCATGCAGCTCCAGATCTGGTGACACCATATGTGGTCCCAAGCCTGAAGCGGCTATAATATCACTTTTACTTCAGCTATAGTCCAACCAATTCAGGAGTTGTGCATGCAAGCTATCCCCTTTCCATCGAAGCAACCGTGGTCGCACACGACACTAGGCCTCAACGTCCACACTGAGACCCAGACAGCAACCGAAGCCCAGCCCGATGATAGATAACGGTGGAGGCCTTTGAACCTATTGTTTTTCAATTTTCAAACTCTGCTGCTGTAATTTTGAGTAATTATTGTAACTATTTCATTGCCCATCATCCGTACACAGCAGCGAACTTTCTCACGTAACCTGTGTCGGATTACAATGCTGTTTAGGACTACTGAAACATTACCCTTCTATATTGCCTGTGTGTCACATCCATTAGCGTACGTGATTATTGACTAGAATCTTCAGCGGCAACGGTGATCCCCACCTTTGAACCCAGTCTATATGAGTGTTCCAGTCGTAGTTTTGGCGAATAATGTCCTCCACACGCGGCATCTCCTCTGCTATCCCGGAAAAGCGAATGAAAGATTTGCCAGTCAAAATATGCGCCAGCTTCTGAGGAAAGGCATCGGAAAAATGAAGCGGGCATCCCCTAGCTCCTGCGAAGTAATTCCCAGGCCCCGGGGCGGGTACTACAATGGACTTGCGACGAAAACTGTCTTCCAGTGCAGCTTGCCATGTTGCGTCTTCTTTCATCACATCGACAACTTTTCGTACGATGTCTGATCTACTGTCAAACACAAGCGAAAACGAATCGACAGGTATGCCGGCTGCAGACAATGTCAAGGTCTCTTCTATCCAAATGGCCACGGGGGCGATGATCGTAGAACGAACCATCGAATACTGCATGCGTAATGGCCCATGATAGAGATAGCTCATATTTGACCCACCACATGACAGGTAATCAGCTAGTACGTTATACCATAGATCCACATGGTGCTCGATGCGGAGCTTGGGGTTTCTGACACAGAATGGTATGAGCGCTTTGGCGTGGCATTCAGGAAACGCCGCTGCCATGTGGAGCTCGTACAGACGAATTTTAGTCACTGCGGACAGCATGTTTTTCGGGAAGCGTCTCAGAAAGTGGACAGCAAGTGCCGCTGCTGAAAAACACCTTTTATGACGCCTGCCTCTCGCCCCGGGGTATGCAAATGGGTAAGGATGATCCATATAATCCAACTCTGCTTCAGTAAGCACTTCCCAAGGCTTGTGATCCGTCTTTTTCAAACTGTGCGGAGTTCGTGCGTGCATAATCAAGAACACCGAAGGGACCGCGGCAAGTGAGTATCCAGACTCGGGGCAAGCTGCAGCCGTTCCAATCTGCCGAAGTGTCTATGTGACTAGATCTCGTTGTTTAAATGGTACCATTCCCCATTACTTCAAAATTTCCAGCCCTGCTCTATGTATGACGCGGCGTTGAGTGGCCAAAGATTTTAGGAGTGAGGCACCTTGAGGAAACGATACCTCAATGTTGTTCACAATCTCGGGGATAATGGCGGAACTACCAAGGCTTAGCATCTGCAGCCTTCTCTCATGCATTTTTTCCAGCATAGAGTGGAAGCGGGTGGCTCTCATAACGGTTTTCGGATTGCCGTGAAAGGTAGCGGTGAATGTGATGGTATTGAACCGCAGGGCTACGCCCTTCATCTCAGCAGCGATCTGCTTGCAGGTATACATAAAGCCCACTTCTATTTTACTACCATCTGAGTTCCGAAGCTTTCCACTCTCTGAATGATATTGGTGTGATTCGGGCTGTGCGACATAGCATTCGTAGATGTCGTCGCGCAGTTCCCTGGGAAGCTTGATGGAGCCCTTCGGTACCGCGGGAGGAGGTATGATCGCCATGATTCTGGAATACGAAAGACCTAGGCGGTGTACGTGATATGCTCAGGTGCTGAATAATGGAGCGTCGTCGCACTCGGCAAAGCAAGCCAACAGGACCCTCACGTGACCATGTTTGCCTGCCCAATTGGTTAGGTACCGAGATGGGGCGCAATCGGAAGACCTTAATATAATAATTCGTGGAGATTTTTCCATCACGTCTGAGTTCCGGTGCCCGTCAAGACTCGGCTTCACCACTGTACGTTCTGGGAATTTACGAGTCACGGAATGTGATCCCCCATTGTGTGGAAAGCCGCCGCCCGATTCTTCTGCCCTACCTAGGTAGGAGCCGGGCTCAACAGAACAACATGCAGCCATGATATGCAGCGCAAGCAATCTCAACACCTTGAGTTTGGCACTATGGAAGTTATGTTTCATGCATTCGATTGTACTTTTCCAATAAGCTACACATCACTGCTCTTTGGGGAAAATGGTGAATAGGGAATAAATGTCGAAAACTCCCGCAAACTATTGCCAACATACGCGCTATCTCTACAAGCTGCAAATCAACGAGTGAAGGTGATATTGAAATAAATTCTCGGGAGGTACAAATTTTATCAAGACGCATCTATGCACCATACCCAGTTTCGTTCGCCCATCATCAGATTGCCAATTCATCACTAGTCTCATTGTGCGCAGCAGTACCATAGTACTATACAGAGGCGACCCAAGTCTTGTATCTCTAAATGCAAAAAGGTTACGGTTACAGTTCGAGCACTATCCGAGATTCAACGCCTCTTCCTCCTCTCCCAGATCATCACCTCCAGGTACAACATCCTCCAATCGGATAGAAAGCCATTCTGGCAAAAATGGGTCTGTGCTGAACTTTTCGGTGTGGTGATCGAGCCATTGCTTCTCCCACTGATTTAACGACCATGTACGACTCTCTGATCGAAGTTCTTCCGTATTCCAATTTGATCTAACTTTGAAGTTACATGAGATTAGAGGCGAATTCCTCTCAGTGATGTCACGCATAGATTCAGGGAATCCGCCCATGATGTAGCTCCGGTTACCGATCATTTGCTGCCATGTGGTGGAGCCAGGAATAACATCTCGACTAGTACCAAACTTCTCGAAGACACCTTGCCACTCAGCGTCTCTTTGGGCTACCGCGAAGACCCGTGATGTCAATTCCTCATCTTCAAGGACCCTTGAGGTTATGTTATCCATAACCTCCCCGTCGAAAACAAGTTTGAAAGTGTCGGGAGGCATACCGAGAGAGGGAAGCGCAAGGGTTTCCATGATCCATGACACAAGGAAAGGGCGTGTAGCGTAACAAGAATTGAAGACGTGCAACCCATACCTGGATAGAGTTGCGTAATTGTTTCCTAGGAGTGTCGTGATACGGTCCGAGCTTGCTGGCCAAACGTTCATCCACAGTCCAACTCTCTGCTCTATGCGAAGATTGGGATTCGCTCTACACATAGGAATTAGACATTGGGCGTGGCTCTCAGGCCATCAGGCCGACCTGTGGTCCTCGTGCAACACAATTTTACGTATGGAAGAGAACACTTCAGGTGACAGAGAGGCGAGATAGGTTAATGCGGTGGATGTGGCCGACAGGCGGTATTTTTCCCTCAAGGGGTATTCAGGATACATGAAATTCAGTCGCGTCGTGCAACGCATATCGTCCAAAATGGTTTCAGTGGGGACTACCCAAGCAGAGTGGCTGAATGAGAGAAACTCGTGTAGGTGAGGACTCACCCAGCTCATGAATAGAGACTCTGATACCGCTCTGCAATATCCGGGGTTATTTGAAACGAGGCGCAGGGTCTTGCTGATGAAGGAACGGAATAGGGATGGGACCTCGCCCCATGAGGTGTTTGTCGTGCTGTTAATACGAGTTCCACCTCGCTTGATTACTTTCAGAAGACCGATAAACTGAGGATAGCTGTCTTCAATCTGACGGAATATCTCCTCATCAATCTAGGGCCCTGCCAGGCTCAGCAGACCTTGTTCGACATCTGCGTATGCTTTGCATAAACTTTGAAAGCGGCCAATCGTGCTTCGTTTCTCGTCGCTAAAAACTGTGGAGAAGTTGATTGCGTTGACTTTTAGCCCGAGGTTAGGCATCTCCATGGTCGCAAGCTTGCACGTATATGCCAGAGCTAAGTCGATTGTTTCGTTGTCGGCAGTTACAAGTCTGGATGTGCCAGGGTTAAAAAAATACCCACCTTCAACGGCCAGGTAAAATTCGTAGATTAGATCTCGCAACTCTCGGGGGAGAGCGAAGAATATCCCTGTTTGGTCTTGCATGACCGATGTTGACGTCGTGGAAGCCATAGAGTGTGTGCGTGTGACCAGTGGCTGGGTGAGATAAAGTCTTGGGACTAGGAGGAGCGGGATATATTAGGTGTGGGTAGGAAAGGGCTTGAAGAGATCTCGTGTTGAATGGTATTGAAGCCGATGGAAAATCGTTGTGGTGGTATTTGAAGTAGGCAAGGTCTGAATTAGGCAGCCGCAGTTCACGGGATCGATGACACGTTGGGCTGTTGGGAATCCGAAGCGGGCCAGGCTCCAGTTTCTCCTGTGGTTCAAGCACTAACTCTTGTGTCATCAACCAAACTCCGGAACATACGCGTGTAGATACCTTGCTGCCTCCTACACGAGTAAAATTTCGCACATTCGTGGGCGCACATCCCTACCCCCCTGCAAGCGAGGCAAGATGTTTAACAGCAACAAAAGTGCCTCTCCATGTAAGGGAAATACGTGGCGCTGACAAAACCGCAAAATTTGAGTTAGACCAAAACCCTGGAAATGGAGGCCGATACTTGATGAGAACATGGTCGCATGCCACCTGCATAGTATCAGCCTAACGTGAACTATGGTACCACACAATGTATGCAGCAATTCCGGATGGTGACCACCCTAAAGTTCACCGATCGCAGAGTACGCAGGCTACACACGATTATGGACCCTGTGCGGACGAGGAAAAATGTGTATTATGGTAGGCATAGAAAATCGCTAGGGTAAAATCACATATGGATGAAACGAGAGGTAATGTTAGGGTGGAAGGGCGTGGAGGGTGGGGAGCGGTTCACACAGAGTAGTGCGCAAGGGCTGATCTCTATTCACTACTAATTGGAAGGCTTGTTTCTAGTAACGAAACCTAGGGGTGGCATAACAAGATAATGTCAGAACGTTGAAACAGGTCAAAGATTCAAAATCGAAATATTTTATTTCGTGTTTTCAAATGTACGAACGCCCAATCACTTTCATTTATGTAGGACGTCGAACAGATCTCATCTGCGCGTGACACATCGCATGACGCAGCAGGAGTAGATCGTAGATGAACACACACCCAATCTTCGATACACTCCTATACCGTTCAGAACATGTCCCAATCGTCGTCGTCTACTTCCTCGTACTCATCTACTGGTCCCAGTTCTTCTTTCCGAAGGTTGAACCAACTAGGCAACGGTGGTTCTGTTGAAAAGTCCTGAGGTCGATGAGCGGCCCACTCCTTCCGCCAATTCTCCAGCGTCCATGTAGGGCGTATCTTCTTGAGCTCCTCTTTGTTGCCGCCAACTTCAGGCTCAAAGTTACAGGAAATGAGCGACGAGGTCATATCGGTGATATCACGTATCGCCTCGGGAAACCCTCGCATGATGTAGCTGGGATTTTGGACCATTTCACCCCAAGAAGAGTAGTTTTGATCTGCTGCGTGAGATGCAGATGCTGGGAAGAAAGCTGTCTGCCATGCTGCGTCCCTTTGAGCAATTTTGAACACGCACGCAGTGGCTTCTGGGGTTGGACTACCGTCTAGGACTAAAGTAAAGGACTGCGATGGCATTCCTAGAGATGGAAGTGCCAGAGCCTCCATTATCCATGGTGCGAGACAAGGCCTTGAGATCTTGTCAGAACGCAGCACGTCCACTCGTTCCCCTAGGAGGGAATCACGCCATGCCACCACAGTAAGGGGATCAACCGAGCTTGCTGGCCAGACGTTTCGCCAAAGGCTCACCCGTCTCTCTATATGTAACCGGGGGTTCTCTAAACACCACGAAATGAGGCCACGAGCGTGGCACTCAGGCCAAGGAGAGGCTACGCGATCTTCGTGTAGCACGATTTCTCACAGTTGGCGCCGGTGATCAACTGATAGCGATTTCAAGAATTAAATAGCCACAGTTGCGGCTGATTGTCTATACAGCTCGCCTTCGTCAATACCTGGAGGTGCAGGGTTGCCCAGTAGAGCGCGAGACATCTCATTCAGATGCGTTTCTGAGGGAAGAACCCAAGGAGTTTGATCCATGTTGATGATCTCATCAACGGAAAGTTCTAGCCGTTTTAGTGCGGTGCGAGAAATCATATGCTTGAAGTCTGGGCGCTTTGAAATGAGCTTTAAGATACCAGCAACCCATTGCCGATACATCGAAGGCACTTCGCCCCAGGAGCCATCTAGGCGATGAGGATTCCTGTGTCCTTGTTGAATGGCATGCAGGATTGGCAACATGTGCGGATAGACTGCTCTCACCTCATCCAAGACTTGTTCGTCAATGCACGACTGTGCGACCAGCGGAAGCTCATTTCGATAGAAGGCTTGCAGCTTTGACAAGAACCTAAAGTGATATATGGAGCCGTAGAACCTCTCAGCATCGTTGGTTGTTGTAATGTGGATAGCGTTCAGTTGTAGAGGGAGGTTGCGCATCTCCGAAGCGACAGTTTTGCAGGTGTAGGCCAAAGCCAGGTTGATGAGATGGCCTTCCGCGGTGACTAGCTTTCCCGATTGTTGATTCAGGGAGTATCCGCCGCCGTCGCCGATGAGATAGAATTTATAGATCATGTCGCGGAGCTCACGTGATAGAGTGAAGAAGGATACTTGTTCTGACATGGCCGGATGGGATGTCCTGAGATTTTTCACGGTTGCGGTATAAAGGATCACCACGAACTCGAGCGGTTTGCGAAAATACTGGGGGTGATTTGGTGACGGGATGCGAGTCGGTTTGGAGGTGCAGCACGAAAAATAAAGGAACAGAACACTTTATCTATCGAGTGAAACTCTAGGCAGCCGCAGCTCACGTGTTCAATGAATTGTTGCTCCACGAGAGCTTGCAGGGTCCGATCTCTTAGGCGGTCCAACCTGTAAAGTTGACGTTGACACCCTAAGTACAAATCGCGGCACAGCACCCTTGAAGCCACACAGTAGAACAGTGGCTTGTGATTGAAAAGATTCTGAAATGAAATATTATTCTAAGCAAAAAGGATGGATAATGTCAGCGTTCTCAATAATAGGAAATGGATAGACGAGGCTGAAGCAATAAGAGAGCTGCAATAAAGTAAACTAACTGTTGCCTTACAAGCGTGACACACTAACTTAGCAGCCTAACATGAACCACGGTTACAGCATCAGAGTAAAGAATGCTTTGTAGATACAGGCAAGCGCATCTCCTACTATATAGGCCAATCCAAGTACTTTGATCAAGAAAGGGGTAAACGATGCGAGGCAATGTATAACCTCCCATATTTTGATTTATAATTTCTTGCCGATGCCCACCCGTAAGCGGATTTGTATATTATATCATAGAGATAAAAATATTAACACCGAGTCTCCCTACGTGCCGGCACTCAGAGGAGAATGTTAGGTAGTGTTGAGAATACAGTCCGTAAGTGACTTGGTGGTATCAAGCGGAGGAGTAGTCACATGATTGGTGACACGTGCAGGTGGGTCCTAGCGGGGAGCTTGGACGCAGCTGCACGCAACACGGATCTACGAACGTGTGAATAGCTCCTTAGTCAATACAATACGAATCTGTACCACCACTACCGTTGTGCCTTAGAGAGCGCTCTATTAGGTAGTCATACTACTACTAATAGTGTCAGCTTCTCAATAGGTAGAATGCTTTCATAGGAGCATAGAAGTAACACAGGTGCCTCCTACACAAATTACTATCATACCTAGCGAGTATACAACAGAAAGGAAAAGGGAAAATAAATTAAGAACCCGCCTGACCCATGTTGTTACGCTACAGCTGAAGTATACTATTACCTTAACATAGTCCCCTTAAGGGAAAATGACAGCCTGTATGCTCCCGAGGTCAAGTTGAGATTAGTTCGGGCTAGATAGTAGTAGCGAGAGGGCATTTGGACAGTGCTGTAAAATACGCGTGACCAATACCCGATCGCAGGCCGTATCTATCACACTATGCTCCGATCTGTATAGCGCACTACTATCCTTCGTATTGTTTATCGCAACGCCCTGCGCCTACTGCCAGCATCGCTGATACCAGGAAAAGACGGTTCCTACTGAAAAAGAAAGGGTTATGTAATGGCTGCCCTGGTCGTGAGATTTTATCAGTAGCGCGAGTAGCTAGAAGAAATTGAGGAGCGGCAACTTACGTTTCTCCAAACAATGACGTCGCATGTGGTATCACAGGATGATACTGGTGCTGCATATGGCGAGATCGTAGTCAAAAGCAAGGAGGTGGGTAGTTTAAACAAAGAAGTTGTTACTTGGGTATCTCTTACAACAAGAATAAAACAATCTATCAACATAGCAGCAGCGCGGGTTCTATATGTATATCTTGCGCTGAAAGAACATGGTGTATGCTACAACACGGGCCTCCCCAGAAATGTACAATCATCATCTAAAACGACCCAATATTCCCCTTACTATACATCGTCTGCCTCCTCTTTCTATGCTGCTTAGTAACAGCCCCATGACTCAAGCCGATGCCATCCCCCAAAATGCCACTCGTAGTAACCTTGCCCTTGCGCACGGCCCGCCGCTTCGCCTCTCTCCTCTTGAGCTTCCCACTCCAATGCTTAATCTTACGCACGATGCGATCAGCCATAAGCACCAACAATGTGATGATCATGACGGGCACGGCGATGAGCCAGAAGAAGGCATCGGAGTGGTGCTGGACGCCATTGAAGCGGGCAAAGTTTTGGCCAAAGTATCCGACGAGAAAGGTGAGGGGGAGGAAGAAGATTGTGACGGCGGTGAGGATCTTCATGGATTCGTTTTGGAAGGCACCCATCATGTTGAAGATTAGGTCGATAAGGTTGTCTGCAGCGCGGCGCATTTGGTCGAGAGAGGCGGTGATCATGATGCAGTGATCTTCAACGTCGCCGAGGTAGGTGTGCGCAAGGGGGCTAATGTTGATGGAGCTCATCGTCTTGCGGGTTGCAAGGTGGGAGTTTGTTTGGGTTAGCATGGACTGGGCCATGGGGTCTGCTTTGTGGTCGCGAAGGGAGTTGATCAGCGATACGATAGGCTGGATGGTGTTGCGCAGGATGGAGAGCTCAGATGTGAGGAGGTAGAGCAGCTGACTGTGGTGCAACTCGGGATCCTCCAGGACTTCCAACTCCAAATCGCCCATGGCGTGTTCATAGGCTGCCACAACGGGGATGGCCAAATCCACAATGGCGTCGATGATGGCTTGCACGATCATACTGCTGTCCTGGCTACGGCGGAGAATAGTGTCCTCGGTCCTCAGTCGCTTCAAAATCATGTCTTCCACGTCATCAGCGGAATGCTCGAAGAAGGAAATGACAGAGTTATCGGCTAGCAGGAAGATGCTGACTTGTTCGACGCTGACTGTGAGGTGCTTCTCCGCGAGAGCAGAATGCTGCTCGAGGTAAACTATGCGATCGAGATTGTAGCCGCCGCGGTACCGTTGAAGGGTGCGTATCGATGTGTTAGCAGGCGGTATGGATGTCATGACCTTGTCCAGGGGCGTCCCATCCATCTGCTTCTCCAAACCATCCAACGTGTGCATCATGTGGTCCTGGGCTCTCTGCTTGTAGCCCCCGTTCCTGGGGAACATGTTCTTCGCCCGCTTGAACAAGGATGGCTTCTTGGCCTTCTTCTTCTCCAGGTGTCGTGAATGAGAACGAGAGTGCGACCTGTGGTGGTGGTGTTCGGTGTCATCCTCGTCGGAATCGCTTTCCGAATCCTCGTCCACGGGCGTCCGGACGAGCTTGGAGAGGGTCAAGAGCAAAAAGGCCTGGTCCGAGTACCAATCCACCTTGGTCCTACTCTGGGTGCTCATGAGATCCTCAATCGCCAGGCGATGCAGTTGCTTGTGGTTTCCGAGAGTCCGGATGACGTCCCAGCTGAGGCCATTGACGTTGATCCATCGACATGCCACCCAGTCCTCTTTCGGCAGACTGAGGAAGGCCTCCAATGTGTCGTTGTTGAGTTCATGGCACTCGACCCTTTCGTCTGAAAAGTCGACGACAGTGATTTGGCATTGCGCGTAGAGATGGTTGTAGCTGGCTGCCTGTGTTTCCTGGGTGGTGTCGACACCAGGTTCCGCACCTGGCTCTTGGTGCTGGTATGGGCGAGTGGGCGACTGGTAGTGCTTGACCGTGTGCGATCGCGTTATGCGCCGTCGCAGAGTCGAATCAAACGAGTTGTTCCCATCGGCGGATAGGAAGTCTTCGGGGTTCGGTTGGGCGGCGGTAGCGGTGGTGGCAGTCGCGGAGCGACCGCGGCTTCTCTGTTCGTTGAGCTGAGTGTCAATGCTAAGGTGGGGAGGTGCGGCGGAATCCGAAGCGGATCGTGTAGGCTCGGTAGGAGCGGGTGGAGCGGACGCGAAGTCTTGGACTCGCGTCTCGTGAGGAGATGTCGACATGGCGCGCCTTTGTGAAGAGACGGCGGCTTCGGAATCTGATCAGGTGCAATTCTCGGTTGAATTAAGCGTGTTAAAGAGAGTGATGAAGTGAATTAGGAGCCATGAAATAACGTCGAGTGCGGATTGGCTGAAGGGTGGTTGCAGAGTGGGCACCTTTGCAGAGCTGCGCCCACGATGCGAAGGTCACTCTCCTTCACCCAAGGGTAGAGTTTCACCATCATCTCCACATAACACACAAACATGCAAACTAATTTTTGGCGGCTTGGGGTAGCCACGTCACTGAGCATTCGGACATGTCGGGGCGAAACATATTGCATCAGAAACTTTCAGCAACGCAGCGTCTTGTAGTGGCGGGTTCCATGTTGAGTCAGATGCATGAGTTGTGCGCGTGGTAGCAGAGGGAAGGCCTTTGTCAGCGGCTTCCTGCACGCGGGCCGCAGCCAGGACGTGCTTGAGGGGTTTTGGGGCATTTTGATTGACAAATTTCTCTTGGGCATACATATGCATGCGGCGGGTATTAGGTATAATAAGAAACATGTGACAAGGCAGCTGTTGGCGCGCCACTGCCACCACTGTGGCGGGCAGGGTGGGCGTGGGCGTGGGCGTGGGCGTGTGCTTTGAGCAAGTGCGGCGAGCAGAGGCGCTGGTACGGTACCGGTACATACTGTCGCTGCACGTGGTTGAACTGCGTGTTGAGGCTCTGCATTTTACAAGCACATGCACTTTGACCAGCTACCGGTAGTAAGCAGCGCGATCCGTGCCCGGCATATCAGAGTATACGGCGGCAGTCATCTCGGTCCTCTCTGCTGGCCTGGGTAGTGCATGAAATTAGCGGTTCGAGACTACCCTTCTCGGCGGGAGGTGCCAATCCTTAACTGTGGGACTAGCTGCTCCACTGCCCATGATCTCTCAACCCGGACCGCCTCTTTGCATCCCATTCATCGCCGACAGCCTCATCCAGCATACCATACTTCAGCCCTACCGTCACAAATAGTTTACCATTTCTGCCGCACTCAAGACACGTGTTGCTCTGCTGCGTGGCCCCTCCACAGCGACCAGAGAGCGCTCTTGCCTCCGCCCAGCGCCAGAGAGGCCATCCTGGCACCCCTAACGAGACAGCAAACAAGCCTCATCTCCCGCCGCCGGCCCATCCCATTCCCCTTTCCACCCCATTGCTGCCATTTAGCAGAGCCATCAAGCCCGAGTCCGTCTGTTATCCGCCTGTCCAGCCTACCGGGTCGCCTCGAGATTCGACGTCGCCGACGCTGCCACCACGTCTGCTCTGAAGCCCCGTCGCAGACAACCACGACCACCTTCACCCAGACGCTGCAAGAGCCCCACAGCTTGCGCCGACACGAGCTGCCGTTACTTTCACCTTCACCACGAGTTGCGCTGTTTGTCCCTTGTCTCTACCTGCAGTCAAACCCGACTGCCTGCTGCCCACCACATGCGACACTAGCCCTGCATTGCTCCACTACCCACAAACTCTCCTCCCGCCCAACCACGGTACACATCAACCAATATGCGCGAGGTAAACTTTAGCATCCCGAATGCCAACAAGGCGTCGGTGGGCATCACCACGGCCCTCTACGACCGCCGCGCCCTCGACTGCACATCGACCCTGCCGCTCATCAACTCGCTCAACCACCTCGCCTACCTCACCACGTCGTCTGCGCGGATACGAGACATTCTCACCGTCGATGGCGGTATCGAGCGTTTGATATGCATCCTCAAAGAGGGCCGGAGCAAGGACATGATGGACATGTGGAAATGGAATCTCGCCTTCCAGTGCATCTTCAACATCGGCGTGCGAGGGTCTGAGAATGTCAGGACACGCGTGGTCGAGGCCGACATGGTGCCCGTCATCGCCTCCATCCTCGACAACTACATCAAAGTCGTCGACAAGATGCGGGCGAGAGCTGAAGCTGAGATTCACAAGTCCTCACGCATGGTCACGTCGAGCAGACACCACCACTCGTCGCGAACAGGTGAGATTGCATCCAGCTCTGGACACCGGACAGATCGGTCACGCCGTGCTATCCCGCCTCCTATCGAAATCCCTCAGCCCATGGACGCACAGCTGGGTGACACGACCCCCATCCCTTCCTTCTCTCTCAGCTCGCCCCCTGAACGAACAACGTTTGCTCGCGGCCGACCTGCTCATCACCACCACCGGAGTCACGAAGGCCGGGCCCAGCTGTTTGGAACGGTTGGCAACAACACACGCAATCTGGGCCAGCCATTAGTCACTGCATTGCCGTCCATGGACGCAGCACCTGACGCCTTTGCACTACGGCCTGTACGAGACGCGGATCGACTGCCTTCCATGCTCCCCGCGCTGCAGGGGGAAATCACTTCCCAGCCAGTATCGCCTACCACGCCTAGCGCCCCACCCGCGCACCAGACGAGCCCAAGAGCGGGGCTGGGCCGCACCCGCCGCCGACCTTCGATCCGACACCAGCTGTCTCAGTCTGGCGAGTCTGACCTTGAAGCACCTCAGGATGACATGACTGCAGAGGCTGCCACAGCGGCAGGTCCCGCTGTGAACGAGCCGATTGTAGGCATCCAGAACAATGAGATCAACATGGCGGACATTGTCGACAACGCTGAGATGCTAGATGGAGGTAACACACCGGTACCCATCGCAGCACCCTCAGAAGGCACCGACGAGAACAATGAGACATTCAACATCACCCACCGTCCGGCCTTGGACGGTAGTCTGATCAACCCCACAAACACGCCGCCCAACAACCCCATTACCGGCTTCTCTCCCCTGCCGCCCACTATCAACGTTGTAAATGCCAACCCCCCACCAGCGTGGTACCCGCGCTACGCACAAGAACGGAACGCATCGGCTGGCGTACTCGCTGCCATGCCCCGCGATGAAGACGTTCTCATGTCCCTACAACTGTTGGCCTACGTCTCAAAGTACTGCAACCTCCGAACCTACTTCCAAAAGTCGCATCTGGTGCCCAAGCTCAAGATTGGCACTGACCTACTTGAGGGCGAAGCTTCTACTCCCAAGGCAACTGAGGGCGAAGAGGAGGAAGAGCTGGAGGAATACGAACTTCCCGACGATTTCAACATCTTCCCCCTTGTGGAGCAATTCACAGTACGACACCACACATCAGACATGCAATACTGGGCAAGCGTTGTTATGCGCAATCTCTGCCGGAAAGACGACTCCCGTGGCGGGATCCGACAGTGCGCATACTACCAGTGCGGACGGTGGGAAGAGTACACACGGCAATTTGCCAAGTGCCGCCGGTGCCGGCGGACTAAATACTGCAGCAAAGAATGCCAGAAGAGCGCGTGGGTGTTCCACCGCCACTGGTGTGTAGCGGCGTCGTAGGAGACGCGAACAGTCCTTCTTCTCTAATACTTTTTAACCATCATCATTGCCGGGTTGATTGTTCATAATCATCTGGCAGCATATTGCATGGCGCTGGGCACTGCTTCTTCTATGTCTTTTTGTAATCTTTCAGAGGTGCAATACTTAATGAGCGATACGACTACCGGATACCACAAGTTCATACTACTCAGATTGCTTCTCTTTGGCAGTGGGTGAAATCTAAGAGAGTTGGAGACTTGCGAGATAGGCCTTTCAAGGCACATGAGGCGAGGAGACTATACCATATCATTTGGCGCAGAGCATTATTAGCATTGGCAAAAGGGGTTCTTGGAGTAACGTGTAGTGCGTTTGGTCAATTGAATGGTATACATTTGGTATGCTTTGTTCTTGGTCCGTTGTACTTTTTAGTGAGGCTGACTTTGGTGTTGGGATGTACTCATGATTTAAAAGTAAATGTGGTGTGGCGAATGGGAAATTGGCCGAAGGACGACTGCATGGTCCGCATGTTCGCATACTATACCCACTTGCAGATCTGCAGAGCGAAAAAAGCAGTCAAGGACGTAATCCCAACCCCATGATGAGGGGACAAGCTAGAGCTGCGGCTGCATGGTGTGGGGTAGGCTATACGTGCAGGCAGTTACGTCAGTGTCAGCCCTGAATCAGCAGCACCAGCCGCAAACTGGTACGACATGTCTAAATACCGTAGTTGCATCCCGTCTGCGCTCAGCCGTGTCGCTTCCGACAGTAAGTGGCCGGTTGCTGCGCCTTGGAAACTGTAATATACACGTGATTCTGCAGTAAGCAGAACGGTCCCATGTTTACGTGGAATTGAGCATACGACGCCGCGGAACTGCGAATAGTAGTAAGGCCGAAGCTACAAGACGCTAAGTTGGGCCTCGGGCGCAGTGGCATTCTTGGAAGACTCGGCCTCGCACCTTCATATGGGGCGCAGTGCACGCAGACAAAGGGCATGACTATCGACAATGTCTGCAACTGGAGATGCTCCGGGCGCATCAAGTGCTGGTACGGGAGATAGCGGAGGTGGTGGAGGCATCAGACGGCGTCATTCTGCCTCGTACGACGAAAACGAACTGGCACCAACGACACGTAGCACTGTAGAGAGCGCAGTCCCTCCGTATGCGATAACCGGCCACCAGCAATCAAACTCCAATCCGGATTCCACGCCCCGATCTCGCACATCTGCCGTAGAGACTTCTGCGCGCCCATCGATTGCGCGCCTGACCACCGACGAGTCGCCTCGCGTGCGCTTCTCCACCGATATCGAACGAGATGGACCGGGAAAAAGATCGAGCATGGTGGGGAGAAGTGCGCAGATGGATGAGATAACAGCGGTTGGTAAAGGCTCAAGTGGAAAACAACGAGCCGGGACACCAGATTTGACAATCAGGACGCAGGAAGTGTCACCAGAAGACAACGGCGCAAGCGAATCACCATCACACTCACATGAACTCCCTCCACGTCCTAGCTCGTCTCGCTCGCCGCTTTCTCCAACGTCTCGTAATCGCGGATATTCGCTACGCAGCGCCCTTTTCAAGAGGAACGTACACGACACGGCGCAATCACCAGGCAATAATATAGAGCTGGACGAAGGAGTTGGAAATTCACGGTCCGGAATGGGTCAGCCAGAGGGTTTTGCTGGAACCTCACAATCCAAACAGGGAGACACCCTTGTCACAGTCTCACATGAACAATTGGAGTATGCTTCTTCGGCCTCGGATATCTCCAGGTCAAAGATGGGCAGTGGACCAGTGGCACTCCCATACTATAGCTCTGCCTTGAAGAAAAAGGGTCCAGGTAGAAGGTCACAAATGGTGAGGCAGGCAAAGGACTTTGCAGAACAGGCGCGCAAGTTCATCTTCCGCATTAAAGATGTACCCCCGAGCAAGGATGGACGACATATCCAACTAGATCCCACGCGGAAAGAGCCACCCATCGATGAACGCACAAACCAACCATACACCAGCAACTGGATCCGATCTACACGATACTCCGCGTGGAACTTTGTGCCCCGCCAGCTCGTGGCGCAATTCTCAAAGCTTGCCAACTTTTACTTTCTGGTCATTTCCATCCTACAGATGATACCCGGTCTTAGTACAACAGGCCAGTTTACCACGATTGTGCCCTTGATGTTCTTCGTCACATTGTCTATCGCAAAGGAGGGTTATGATGACTTGCGGAGGTATCGGCTCGACAAGGCAGAAAACAACCGAGAAACCCATGTGTTGCGTGTGAGCCAATCTGATGTCAGGCACTCCGCCGACAATGCAAGTGTGCCGTCTTCGTCATCAGCGCTCCAATGGGAGACTATCAAGTGGCAGGATATCAATGTTGGCGACATCATCAGACTCGACCGTAACGAAGCTGCACCCGCTGATTTGGCACTCCTCCATACCAACGGCGAGAACAATGTTGCTTTCGTCGAAACAATGGCTCTAGACGGTGAGACGAATCTGAAAAGCAAGCAAACGACCGCAGCCATCTCTACAACCATTATCGAACAGGAAGACATCCTGAGGACTGAAGCTGAGTTCGTTGTGGAAGATCCCAATCGAGATTTGTACAGCTTCGAAGGACGCGTGACGATTCATGAAAAGCAAGCGCCACTCACGCTTAACGAAATCATCTTCCGAGGTAGCATTTTGCGAAATACGCCTGATGCAATCGGCATGGTCATCTACTCTGGTGAGGAGTGTCGCATCCGCATGAACGCCAATAAAAACCCTCGTATCAAGGCTCCTGCATTACAAGGCCTGGTTAATCGCATCGTCATCGTCATCGTGTTTTTCGTCCTGGCTCTCTCAATCTTCAACGCTGTTGCGTACAAGATATGGCAAAGCCATGAAGACTCGATGTGGTATCTCGCCGGCACGTCTGTCGCCTTCTTTCCAAGCTTCACGTCCTTCATCATCATGTTCAATACCATGATTCCGCTCTCGTTGTATGTCAGTCTGGAAATTGTCAAGCTTGCGCAAATGTTCTTCTTGCATACCGACATTGACATGTACGATCCGGTCTCTGATACCCCCTGCGAACCACGAACTTCTACCATCAACGAAGAGCTTGGTCAGATTAGCTACATCTTCTCCGATAAGACGGGTACGCTTACGGATAACTCGATGAAGTTCAGGAAGCTCAGTGTTGCGGGTGTGTCTTGGCTCCACGATGCTGATTTGCAAAGTGACGAGCAGAAGAAGAAGCTGATCCACAAGACGAGGAAGAAGGGAAAGCAACCCGCCAAAGCCAGAAAGAGTTTCCGGTCAACCAAAGACGTCTCTCCTGGTGAATCAGCAGTCCCTGCATTTGAGGCGACCGAGCAAGTTGAGAGTCCCGCAGAAGGAGGTCCCTCAAATTGGCGGTCAAACGCAAAGCCGGGCAAAGCGTCACGTGAGTTGCGCACCCAAGATATGCTTCGGTATATCCAGAGGAAACCGCATACCCCATTTTCGAAGAAGGCTCGCATGTTTCTTCTGTCACTAGCGCTATGTCACACCTGCTTGCCTGAAGTTCAGGAGGATGGCAAGATCGATTTTATGGCTTCCTCTCCGGATGAACTTGCGTTGGTGCAAGCAGCCCAAGACATGGGTTTTCTCCTGATCAATCGTGACGTCCACACCATTACCCTCAAGATGCCGTCAGGATCCGATGGTGAGTCTACGCAGGAGGTATACGAAATTCTAGATGTCATCGAGTTCTCGAGCAAGCGGAAACGCATGTCTATCCTTTTGCGTTTTCCGGATGGCAGAATTTGCATTATTTGCAAGGGCGCAGACTCTATTGTCCTGGAGCGTCTGAAGCTGGCTACGCTGGCGAACAAGAAAATGGTTGAAATTGAGCGTCGTGCTAACGCGCGCAAGAGCATGGAGGCGCAACATGCGATAGCTCGTAGGAGTGAGCAGGCTGACCGTAGGAGTAGTGTTGCTGGGCGTTTGAGCAGTGTCGGTGGACGCAGGAGCATGTCTTTTGCGCAAGCTGCTAGAACTAGTGCCAACTTTGGCAGACCATCGTTCGCTGCCAGTGTTGGTGCGCGTGTATCCATGTCAGCAAGGGATGAGGTAGATCAGTGGCTACGTGAGCGCGAGAACGATCGTTTGGGTAGACCTTCTGTCAACGAGGCCATTGAGAGTACACCAATACAGACTCCCCGTCAGTCCGGCCTGGATAGGTTCAGCATGGCCATTTCAGAGGCTCGCAGCTCGATCCAACTTGAAGAGATGGAAGCCATGGTTGATGAGAATATCGCTGGAGACGATACTGCCGTCATTGAACGCTGTCTCCAGCACATCAACGAGTTCGCCACCGAGGGGCTTCGCACTTTACTATATGGATACCGGTTCATGACCGAGGAAGAATATCAGTCATGGAAGAGGCTCTATCTCGATGCAACAACCAGCCTCGTCGACCGTACACGTCTGATCGAAGAAGCTGGTGACAAGATTGAGCAAGGCCTAGACCTCTGCGCCGCCACCGCCATCGAAGACAAACTCCAACAAGGCGTCCCCGAAGCCATCGACAAGCTCCGCCGTGCCAAAATCAAAATGTGGATGCTTACAGGCGACAAGCGTGAAACCGCAATCAACATCGGCTACTCATGCCGTCTAATCAAAGAATACTCCACCGTAACCATCCTCGACCACGAAGCCAGCGACCTCATCCAACCCATCACCTCAGCCATCCACGCCATAACCAGCAACGCAGCCGCCCACACCGTCGTCGTCGTAGACGGCCAAACCCTCTCCAAAATCACCGCCAGCGAAACCCTCGACCCCTTCTTCCACGAACTCGCCATCCTCGCCGACAGCGTAATCTGCTGCCGGGCCTCGCCCTCGCAAAAAGCTCAACTCGTCAAATCCATCCGCAAACGCGTCAACAAAAGTATCACCCTCGCCATCGGCGACGGCGCAAACGACATTGCCATGATCCAAGAAGCTCACGTGGGCATTGGCATCACAGGCAAAGAAGGCTTACAAGCCGCACGCACAAGCGATTACTCAATCGCTCAGTTCAGGTTCCTGACTAAACTACTGCTTGTACACGGGCGGTGGAATTACATCCGCACCTGTAAATACACAGTCGGTACCTTTTGGAAAGAACTCCTCTTCTACCTCACACAAGCCCTCTACCAACGCTCCGTCGGCTACACGGGTACCTCGCTCTACGAATCCTGGTCCCTATCCATGTTTAACACGCTCTTCACCTCGTTACCCGTCATCTTCATGGGGGTCTTTGAGAAGGATCTTTCGGCTGCCACGCTACTTGCTGTACCGGAACTTTATGTGATTGGGCAGGTGAATGGCGGGTTTAACGTGAGGGTTTATCTGGGGTGGATGTTTATGGCTAGTGCGGAGGCGATGGCGGTGTATTTTGTGCCGTGGGGCTTGTTTGGGCATGTGCCGTTTGTGGAGGATGGGGGGATTTATGCGTTGGGTATGATTGTTTATTCGGCGGTTGTGGTGATTGTTGCGGGGAAGATGCAGTATGTTCCTCCTTTTCATCTTCCTATTTCCTCCTTCCTTAATCCCACTTGTCTCTAACCCCGCCCCCACAAACACCCCAACTAACAAAAAACAGATTCCTAGCAACCGCCACCCTCACCTCAACAAACGCCCTCGCCATCATCGCCTCAATAGGCGGCTGGTTCCTCTGGAACATAATTCTCTCCCTAACCTACGCCCCCACGGCAAGAATCTACTACGTCCGCTCCGCCTTCCTAACACGCTTTACCTGGCCCTGGTGGCTCACCCTCCTCCTCACCCTCTTCGCCATCTTCATGTTTGAAATCGCCGTCGCTGCTTTTATGAACACGTTTGCGCCGTCTGATGAACATGTTTTTCGCGTCTTGGAAAAGGATGCTGGTATCAAGAGGAGGTTTGAGGAGGAGGCTGCGCAGGAGTTGCAGGCCGGGTGGCAGAGGGATAAGGGGGGGACGAAGGGGGACGAGGAGGAGAGGGTTAGAGCTGTGGTTGGAATGTTGGAGGAGAGGGAGAGAGCGAGGAGGGAGGGCGAGGTTGTGGAGATTTTGAGGAATAGGGGGGATGGTGGGGAGGGGGATGTGACGGCGGCCGGTGTGGGTGGAGATGAGGGGGCGGAGATTAGTAGGATTTTGAGTCGGGGGTATGGTGATGTCAAGGCTGTCTAGTTTAATTGGAGTGGAGGTAGAGATTTGGGAGATGAGGGTTTCTTTGTAGATATGTGTTGTATGAGATTGGGTGTATATAGTATAAGTCTTTGTTTATATCAGTATTGCCGTTACTCTATCATAAATACATATGTACATAAACAACGAGTATAGTGAAAAATACATATTATAATATCCCACATCACCTCCTTTCCCTCCAGGAAAAAGAGAGGAGATGCGCACATGCCAATAACAGCACAACAACATCAGATTTGGGGTATTGTACTCGCTCTCACACCTGGATGTCATAAAATACTAGACAGCGTGGGTAAGCACCCAATAGACGTGTCTGGCGACTACAGTGGCCTTTTTCCCCTAGTATGTCAAGTATTTTGTGGCACCCGGGTGCTCATCTCGTCTGGTCTCGTTCCTCCCATACCACTCTTCCTATCCTATTCTATCCACCTCTCGCAAGTGCGTCCATCCGTTCGCTCTTGAAGAACCAATACGTACGTACACAAAAATGTACCCAAATGGATATCACCAAACCGATCTAAGAAATCGCAACAAGAAAAACAAAGGAAAACGCCTCGCATACTGAATGCGACTCAGGGCAGTGCTGAGCTGCCCGAAGAGAATAAACCCGTTGTTCCGATCTAATGAAAATAGCCGTGTAATTGCGCAAAAAAACAACGAAAAAGATATGATTAAGAACGCCGATGATTTGTCGTAGAAGCATGCGTGTGTGGATGTGGGTGTGGATGCGGTGATGATGTGTCGCGCAAGACGTAAAGGTCGTGCGGAGAGAACGACAGATGAACATCGGTGTAGATGAATGATGTACAGTGAAAGCAGTAAAAGGAAAAGTCGACCATGTTCTGAGAAGGAGGTGCTCAGAGGATGCGGTTTCTGGATCAGGTTAGCGCGTGTCAGTATAGGGTTTAGCGTCAGGGTCCAACTCACTTCCTTAGTGCCGTCTCGAGCGAGACAGAGCTGACCTCCGAGTCGGCAGGTAGCTCGTCAAGTAGCGGTAGTAAGCTAGCGAACTTGTCGCCGCCTTTGTATGCGAGAACGGCGGGGAGACAGTCAGAGTCGAGCTCTGCTACTTCGCCGTGCATCTTGACAAAGCGGACCGTGTCGTTGCGTCGGGCTACGTCACGCATGCATTGCACAACGTGGTTGTCGTCTTCGGTCTGAGGGGTTGTTAGTTGGTTGGGTAGTGGATAAGTGAGGTGTGGTGCACGGACCTGGGAGTCATAGATGAAGACAACAACAGTAATGCCCGAGGCAGTCTTGTCAACGGCGTCAAGGTAGCCCTCACCATCAACCAAAGGCATGTTGCCGTATATGCGTCGGCTGGGGCTGTTTGTCCGCGATCGTATCCGCTCGCCAACATTCTGTAGCTCCTTCAACCTTGCCTCACGCCATTGCCTCATGAAGCCCTCGTCACCCTCCTCATCGCTCAATGCCTTGTCGTCGTGATAGGCGCTGACGCTATACTGTGCCGGTGCACCGTTCTTCTTCCATGTAAATCGCCGGGCTTGCTTTTTGGCTTGCTCAAACGCTTGGGCATCGGCAATGACGCCTTTCGGGCCGGTGTTTGCTTCGGACCTCATGGCCGGCATGTAGTAGTTGGCCCTCATGTCTGCGGGGATGTCGAGCTCGTCGTCGGTGTCAATCTTCTCAAGGTAGTCGTCTGCTGCGCCAGGGGATTCGGGCTCAGATACGTCGCTGTCGTTGTGTCGGTCTTCAGGGTGTCGATGTTCCTTGTCCTTGTCGCGGATCAGTTCGTTGAATTCGTCCTGTGCAGCCGAGGTAGTATTCATTATGAAGAAAAAAGAAGGAGGTCTATGTGAGCGGGCGGCAGGTGGCTGATATATGATTGTCGTCGGCAGTGACGCGTTGGGGCAAAAGGAAGGAGTGGGTGACAAGGTTCGTGCCTACTGGGTTTGGGACGTCTGGGATGTAGCTCCGCCGGATGACAGCCTTGGCACGAGCGTCGATGGGGCTATTTTTGACGAATCAGCCGGTTTCAGCCAGCTCATTGGTCGCCGGCGGCGTGATGTGGTCGACCTCACCTGCAAAGCCTCAACACCTTCACTCGACTGCGTGGACACGGTGGTCTCTGCGGTACGAGGTGTAGGGGGCTGCTAGGTGGGCGGTGTTTTAGGGCTGACGCTGACCGGGTGACCACGCCCCATCCAAGGGCCCCTCCCATGACGTTCGATTGGCGAAGTCGGCCATTGCAGGCCCTTGAAACAGGAATGCTCGAGTACGAAACGAGTCTCTCCTGCTTGTCCGCCCAATTGGCAGCCTGTGGGTGGCGCGTGGTAGCTCTAATGCTTGAACATCAAGTCCACCGCCTCTTCTACCCTGAAACACACATCCCGAGCTCTGCTACGCGTCTTTCATCATCAACCTGCTCGCTCCCCGCGCCTCTGTTTCCAGGCCACTCGTCAGCGGATCCATAGAGGCGCCTCTCGTACCCAAGTATGCGCAGGCTCCATTGTTTCAATCCTGCCAGGCACTTTCATTCATGCATCACCAGAGTTGCCGCAAAAATAAAAGGAGGCGGTCATTTACTCTTTTTCCGCCTGTTTGATATGCCCGCCCGGCCCAGCACCCCTGATGCAGGTCCCCCGGCAATGCAATCCTTCAAGACTCCTTCCTTTTCTTCCAGAAGCATTAATTATGGCTTCTTTATTCTCCGACTCTTGCCTCGGCTGGGCCGCCTTTTCCCGCTTCAGGACCCACGAGATGGCCAGTTCCCCTGTGTTGCATGCGTCTAAGATTGGCCTGGATACTTCTTCATGCCTTGCGCATAACAGAATCTCTTTGATCTCTTCACAAACACGTTGCATGCGCGCATTTGGAATGCGAAGCACGGTAAGCAATAAGCTTCCGGATATCATCATGTCAGAGCGGTTCGACGCTTGCACATCACCTCCAGTCCTGGATCCTGGGTCAGCTACTGTACCACGCGTCACCTAGGCCCAAAGTCAAATCTTCGCAATAGACTTCCATGGCATTCATCCTCACGTCATCACAACAATCACAACATGCCCATCTTGTACGCTTTCAATTCACCCTCGGCCTAATTCATCCACGTCCCCTGGGTGACCCGGTTATGCCGGTATACGGCTGCCGATATATACCCTTTGTAGATTCGCGAGCGGCCTTCCCGCTTGATGCAGTCGCCGTACAACGGTGATTACGCCGAAATCAGCGTGGGCAAGGTTTTGATATCGCCGTGAGTCGCGGTATACCTGCCTCGACAGACGCTGGGGATCGTGGAGGAGGGCGGAGCTTCCCTCGGGCATCTCATGGCCTGAGCGCTTGGACGCGCGAGATAACTTTAGCCGGCCAAGTATGAGCTCACGACATCATGTCAAACCATCGATAAAGTTAAAAGGTGTATAGAAATCCGATGACTACCGAGCCTACCATTGCACGCACCAATTGATCCCCACAAAACCCACTCAAATCGTACACGTTGAGATCCATGCATCAATAACCTTTCATCCCGCCATTCCATCTCTCCTTGCCATACATGCATTCACCAAGCCATTTGAACGCATTAAAATCCGAAACTTGGTCTCCCGTCTTGCATACATGCACTCCCTCTTCCCACGCAAGTGCAAGACCAATTGGCCGCTTTTGACCAGAACAAAAAAGGCAAAAACAGTCGCATGTGGAGCTTAGAGATGGATAAGTACTACTCATGTGCGCAGAACTGCTAGCCTGGACATGGGCAGTACAAAAAGACTCGCGCCGTCGAAGAAAGTGAATAAAACAGTGGTATGGGAAGAAAAAATCCAGTCCAACACAAGAAGCCGGACGCCTGAACATTACAATGCACAGCCGTCGCGTCCAAGACTCCAAAGGTGGTGCGTATTATATGCTTAGTGTAAGGCAGCGCTCAGAAGGCTCCTGGTTGGTAAAAATGTAGCAGGGGTATGGTGTACCAGGAGTTCGGAAGATTGCTGTCATGGGTTGTAGTTTGCCAAAATTAGGGGAGCGCGCACACGTTCGGATTGGCGTCGTTACATGGCGTCGTGGTTAATCCGTGGGCTGTGCTTATGCCCAAATGCGCAGCTGAACCAAGTCAGCTATGTCAAAAGCAAACGCTTACGGGCAAACTTACCATAGAGTCCCAAGAACCCGTGCAGAGACTGAGTGCGTCGTTGCTAACGCCGAGACAGCTGACACGGTTGTCGTGTCCTTGCAGTGTGCCCACGCGTTCCACCGCGCAATACATCCCAGACCTGAAAAATGTCAGAATATCAGCAGAAGGGTCGCCTGGGGCACTCACCTTGCACTCGAAATCATCATAGCCGGCAAATAGTAGACGGCGGAAACGGAAAAGGCTACCGATGTAATGCCGCATACAGGCTCAGGAATCTATCAACTGTAATTAGCAATGCTTACGTGAAAAAGCAACATGACAAAGGGCGTGCGTACCTGGTATGATGCTAGCTCGCGATCGGCACGAATATCGAACAGACGGCAGGAGGCGTCGTCTGATCCAGTACCAAAGGCATTGCCGTTGGGGAAGAACTGGATGGCGTTGATGTCCGAGTCGTGGGCGGCAAACGTCTGGACGCACTTTTGCTGTCGGATGTCCCAGAGCTTAGCGAAAGCGTCGCAAGCACCCGAAACGAACTGGTTGTGGTCGAGGGGGTTGATGCTTAAGCTCATGACATCGCCGAGATGGTCGGCAAACTCATGTACCTTTGAGCCCGTCTCGAGATCCCATAGGACACATGTCATGTCGCCGGAGGATGTGAGGATGCGCTTGTCGCTGATGAATCTGCAGCAACTGAGGTAGCCTGAGTGACCAGAAAGCTCGCGTGCTACACGCGTCGGCCCTTCCCTGGCAGACAGGTTGTAGATGGAGCAGATGTTGTCGAGACCACCGCAAGCGACGTAGTTGCCAGATGGCGAGTATGCACACGTCATGACCCACGAGGATCGCAGAGGGATTGCATGGACCTTGTTTGTGGTGTAGGCGTCCCAGATGATGAGTTTGCCATCTTGCGAAGCCGAAACGAGATGTCGGCGGTCCGTCGACCAGTGCATGGCGTAGATCTTGGCAAGATGACCCTTGAGGGTGCGCTTCGTCTTCATTGTGAGGCGCGGCAGGGCCTCGACGCGGTCTCTGGCGACATCGCGGACTGGGCTGGGGGTTAGCAGTGCTTTGTACTGCAGTCGCAGAGCGGACCATGGGCGGGTCAGAACGTACGGGTTGTGTCAGCAAGCTCATCCTTCTTGCGCTTTATCTTGTCCTTGAGGTTCTCAGCGTCGCGTCGAGCGGTCTGGATCTTCTGCTGGATGGTTTCTTGGTTCATATCGGCCATGTGTCCAGTGCAACCGTTGGGGGAGGCGGTGGGTGGTGTTGGCGGCGGCGGCGGGCGGCGCGAAATGGAGACAACAGATCCAGGGGCCTCCTAGGGAGCGCGGCAACCAGGCGGTCTGGGAGGGAAAGGGCGACTGATGCGATGGACAAGGAACAGCAATGGCGACGGACGCGCGCAAAGCAAGACTTGATTGCTTGCGCAAAGGGGGCGGCGGCAGACGTGCGAGAGGACGGGGAAACTGGAGGATGGGAAGGGTTGCGAGTGGGTTAGAAATGATTGAGGTACAAAAGCGGGCCGGGGGAGAACTCAAACTTGAACTAGACGATTCGACCTCAGAGGATAAAAGGGGGACTCTTGATCGTTCCCGGCTGTTTGAGAAGACACGCTAACCTCAACTCTTCTGACATCGTAAAACTAACCAAACGAGTGACATCGACTGCTCTCGAGTGAGTGATGGGCTGATTGACTTGCTGGCGTTTGTTTTGATGCCTGCACACACTCGAGGCTGTGCTCATGCCTTCCCAATTTCTGCCGGCCGCGCCTTCCTGCTAACACCTGATGAAGAAGGCGCGTTCTGCAATCTCCTCCTCTTTCGGGCCCTGTCCGGCCCTCATTGGTCAGCAGTCCCCATTGACCCGCGTCGCCTCATGTCCAGTCCGGCACCGAAAGTCTGTTCACTCCACTATTGCTTCGAGAAACCTCACAGACGCCACCAATACCGTCGTGCTCCCGTTACCCGTCATGTCTGCAGGCCCTCCCGTTGACGTCGACTTTGCCAGACGCCTGCCAAAAATCGAGGTACTGCTCCAGCCTCCTGGATTCAGAGTCAAAGCGCCAAGGAAGCTCAGACTTCCGTTCGCATCGCTGCTAATGCCGCGACTCAGCTCCACGCCCATCTCACCGGCAGCATTAGCCGCGAATGTCTGCACGACATCTGGGTGACCAAAAGCGCAAAAGATCCCGACCTGCATGTGCAAGATCCCTTGGTCGCCATTCCGCCGGGAAAGGTCGACTATGATATCAAAACGTAGGCCTGCGTCGACTCACCTCGTCACGGCGATAGTCGTTGTAACACCCGTGTGCCGTTGGAGTGCATGGGTCCAGACGATCCGTCCGATAGCGTCATTGCGTTATTGCCCTGGAAGCGAGCTCCACCAGTCCCCTTCGGATGAATGGTCGCGGTGCTCGGTCGTCCCAATTAAGTCGCCTTGACAGCGCAGTAGACAGCTGACAGCGAGCCTAGCTTCTTCCCCTTATTTTCGTCGTACATATATCGCCTTTGCAGTGATATCGCCAGCATTGAGTACGTCTATACGCTCCAATAGTTTGCTGGTATTTAATACAGCTCAGATATTCGACCAGAGCTGTCCTACGCGAGTTCCAAGACGACGGTCTTGTCTACATCGAATTGCGGACTACGCCAAGAGCAATTCCAGAGGCGGGTGTGACCAAGGAGGACTATGTGAGGACTGTCCTCGACATACTGAAGGCACATAATGATGACAGCCGCAACACGATGCGAGCCTTTCTCATAGTGTCCATCGACCGTCGAAACAGCATTGCCGAAGCCGATGAAGTAGTAGACCTCGCTTTCAAATACAAGTCAGCTGGTGTTGTGGGCGTGGATCTCTGTGGTGACCCTGCCAGAGGCGATATCCGCATATTTCAAGATAGCTTTGTGCGAGCAAAGGCGGAGGGTTTGAAGGTCACGTTACACTTTGCCGAAAGCGAGCCTTCGTCTTCAGATTTGGAGCTCCAGACGCTTCTATCATGGAATCCCGATAGGCTTGGTCATGTCATACATGTCAAAGAAGAGTTCCGTAAAGTCATCGAACAGCAGGCCATTGGAGTGGAGTTGTGCTTGAGCTGTAACGTGCATGCCAAGATGATCACGGGCACTTATTCAGACCATCACTTTGGAATGTGGCGACACACTAGTGTTCCAGTCGCTTTGAGTGTATGTGTGGCTGATGGGTACGCATGCTCTTACCGACGACTAATGTGTTACAGACGGATGACGTTGGAGTCTTTTGCAGTCCGTTATCCCAGGAGTATTATCTCGCGGCCCAGCATTTCAACCTCGATCGAAACCATATCAAGGCACTGTGCGAGCGAGCAGTCGATTCAATCTTCACTGGGCCAGCAGAGAAGGCGCGTCTCAAAGAAATCTACGCCACTTGGGACGGATGGGAAGCATGAGCCTTTCATGAGCAAACACTAATGTTGTGGCGAAGATTACCGAAACTTCAGAAATCTATTCACTCACTCTTGTGTCGTTTTTATGGAACAAAGTGACCAATGTGGCGGCATACGTCCCACACGTTTTGCAACCAATTATCCATGTATACAAATTCTATTGATTAGTCGCAATCCTTTCATTGATATTTTCCTACTGTATACTTTCTGAATCTCTCTGCAATTTCAGGTCAAGCTCGAGGCTCCCAGAAAACGTGCAACTATCGCGATAGGGAGGGGGCCACCTACATTCGTTATATTATGGTAGAGGGATGAGCTTAATAGTCCGAAGAGCGCCCGCCAACCCGTAGTTAGTAGAAAGTAGAGAATGAGACTTAGAGTATACTAGGCATAAGTAGATGTTAGTTACCTATCTGCGCTGCCCCCTTAGATATCTTAGCCTACGTTCATGTAATCGCCTAACGCCGCATCACGTGATAACTACTATACCACCATCTCTTCTGGATACTTTTCTTTATTGTACTCGCTGTCACTTCTACACAACAGTCAAGGAGCGGAGATAACTTCACCGCAATCTACTCAGATGCCTCACAACACGACAAGGGAATAGGGATCGGCGTAGGTGTAGTAGCGTACAGCTCCACCCACGAAGAAACCTTTTCTCAAAAGACAAACATTGGATGCTCCCAACTAGTCTACAACGGTGAACTAGAGGGGATAGCACAGGCATTTGAACACGCGGCTATAGTAGCACAAGAAGGCCAAGAAATCTACGTATACGCAGACAACCAAGCAGCAATCCATAGGCTTAACAACCTATCGGACAACCCGGGACAACAGTGGCTACTAAGATGCATCAGAGCTGCAAAGAGAATAACGACAAAGAAAGCATCGATCCACCTGCAGTGGGCCCTAGGACATAACGACGTCAAGGGCAACGAAAAAGCCGACACGCTAGCAAAGGAAGCAGCTAAAGAGAGACCAACAACATCGACCATAGCGAGCCTAGCCTACTTAGGCACAGAAATTAACAAAATACAAAAAACAGAACAACTGATGGAGTACAAGAGGTATACCGACAGGCCCACCAAAAACAGAAGCTCCTACTCAAGGATCTTCAAGCTCAACACACATACAACAATTAAAGTCCCAAAGGGAACACTAAGAGAAATCTCGAGCGCGTTCTACTCACTCAAGCTAGGACATGGATACTTCAACTCCTACCTTAAGAGATTCAACAAGAGAGACTGCAATCTATGTATATGCTACAAACCACAAACACCACAGCATCTACTTCTAGAGTGCAAACAGTACAAAACACATCGAAATACACTCAAAGAAGCAATACCACACAGACCTATCACCCTCCCACTTCTCCTCTAAACAAAGACAGGCATTAAAGCTACTCTAGCCTTTATTGCAAGTACTAGGATTGGCACGAGAAAATGGCACCTCGGGCAAATCACCGAACAGACAGACACTGTATAAAACTACAAAAACAATATTTCCTTATCCAAAAGAGCCCGCTGCTACATCTCTTTCTATTCACCAAACTGCTCTTTAGCACCCGCGCCAATGGAAGACTAGCTCTGAAATTGGAGTACGCAAAACACCACCCAAATTGTACAAGACCCATAGAAACTCCACAACGACCATCATACATAGAACGGCTTAGCCAAAGTCCTACATAGTCACCGACTGATACAGGACTCTAATGGAAATATAATAATAATAATTCTACACAACAGTATATTTCAGCGCTCTCACTAGTTGCCTTGTACTCGCATCTCTATTCATTCGTGCTGTTGCGCCGACAGACATGCTGACGGGCATACCAGAAAGGGGTGGGCACATTCATCAGCGCTCGAAGTCGTGTAACGGGCTACCGTCCGTGCGCATCCAATGCAACAGGTCAGCCAATGCAACACCAAAACCACAACCACCCACTCACAAAACGCGTCATAACTCCACCAATATGGACCCCATTCAAGAAGCGATTGAATTTTTGGAATCGCGTGAGGCTGGCAATAATTTCTCGTACCGCCAAATCGCGAAAATGTTTGGTGTTGAGCTTTCTACGCTCGTTCGAAGACACCAAGGCAAAACGCAGCCTAGGGGGACTATGCATCGTCTCCTCCACTCACAACAAGAGAAGGAGCTTGTAGAGTACATCTGGGGCTCTCCGAGCGACGTTTGCCACCTACGAGGACAATGATACGCAATTTTGCGTCGTCTTTGGCTGGAAAAGAGGTCTCAGAACTGGGTTTCCCGTTCTAGAAGACACCCATCTGAACTCATATCGCGCTACACCTCTGGGATGGACCGCAAACGTCACAAAGCTGACTCAGGGGCTAAATACAAGTTGTATTTTGAGCTTCTGCATGCCAAAATGATGGAGTATGGGGTGCAACCTACTCAGATCTACAATATGGATGAAAAGGGGTTTCAAATTGGATGCCTTGGGCGATCAAAACGCGTGTTTGACAAGGTGTTATATGATCAAAAGGGGGTTAGGGCATGCCTTCAAGATGGCAATACTCAATGGATTACTGTATTGGCATGCGTTTGCGCCGATGGTACAGCCTTGAGTCCATCCCTTATCTTCCAATCGGACGCTGGGACCCTACAAGCCTCATGGGTTGACGCTATTGACGCCGAAAAGCACTCAGTCTTCGTGGCGTCTTCTCCAACGGGCTGGACGAACAACGATATAGGGCTTGCCTGGCTCAAGCAGGTGTTCATAAGGGAGACGAGGCGTTCAGGAGTCAATGGGTACCGATTACTCATCCTTGATGGCCATGGATCTCATGTTACTATGGACTTTATCAATTTCTGTAACGACAACAAGATCCTCCTCGCCGTCTTTTCCTCTCACGCTACCCACACGCTTCAACCCCTGGATGTATCGTTGTTCAAACCTCTCTCGGACGCCTACTCAAATGAGCTCGCGAAGTACCTTCAGGACAGCCAGGGGCTGCTCCCAATAGTAAAAGGAGACTTCTTTCACCTCTTCTGGAGCGCCTAGTGTACTGCTTTTAAGCCTCCAACGATCATAAAGTCCTTTGAAGCTACAGGTATTTACCCCCCTAATGCCGAGGTTATACTTAAAAGATTCGTCAAAGGGGGCTACAATTCAGATGACGGCTCATCTTCATGCTTTTCTGAAGAAGACTGGGTCAAAATAGAGGGTATAATACGACGTCAGGTGAAAGATCAACGCAATAAGGAGGTCAAAAAGCTTCGCCGAAGTCTCCATCACATCTCCACCCAGGCAAGCCTCCTTAGGCATGAAGTAAGGGGCCTCCGGCGGGCTATGGGCATCAGAAATGGGCGGGAAAAGAAGTCCTACACTCTACAACTCAACAATCCTCATGAGTATAACGGTGGAGCCGTCTTCTAGTCTCCCAAGAAGGTCCGTCAGGCTCGGGACGATGAGGCGGCTCGACAACAACAACTACAACTCGAAAAAGCACAAAAAGCAGAGAGGGCTCAGGAGAAGGAGCAATCGCGACTCAACAAGCTTCAGGAGGCCGAACAGAAGCGTGTTAAGAGAGAGAGGCTCAAGGAGGCGAGGGAGAAGAAGCGAGAGAAAGAACGGGCTGAAAAAGAGCATCGAAAAGCAGCTCGCGACTCTCAAAAAGCTATACAACAGTCCCAAAACGGCAAGCGTAAGGCCTCACAAAGCTCCTCTCAAAAGCAGAAGCGTCAAAAAGGTGTTAGTGATGCTGCACGACGTGTACAAGCCGAGGTGGCTGCACCTGTCGTCCCAACTCAAACGACCCGCCAGGGCCGCACCACTAAGGTACCAAGTAAATATAAGTAGCGCAAGTTTATCGCAATAATATAATTACTACTACACTACAAAATCTCGCGATAATAGCTATTGTGGGTGGCTCTACAGCCTCATCTTTTAGTATACTAGTGTGGTTTTGGTGTTGCATTGGCTGACCTGTTGCATTAGATGCGCACGGACGGTAGAGCCCAGATGCTATGGTGATCCTCGGTGGAACCTTCGGAGCTTCCTCGGCACTTTAGATGCTTCGAGAAGCTACGTGAACAACAAGCCAAACGTATATAGATATCGTTGCACTGCAGATAGCTTTCTTCTTCATCGAATACAATCCTGTTACTAGGCACTAGCATACTTTGCGCAGCCCCTTACATTTTGTATTTAATCACTTCACCTTAAGCAGCTAGTGTGGCCGTCCCCTAGTGCTCTACTAACGGAACAATTACAAGACCTGCTCCTAAGCAGTGAGCAATACATTAGAGCGATTGCAAAAGCAATACTATTAGAACGATCGCAAGACCTGCTTCTAAGCAGTGAGTAACAATAGGCAGCTAGTGTGGTCGTCCCCTAGTGCCTAAGCGAATCGATTAAGCGACGCTAGTGTAGAGACCTCTACAGTTAAACGTCTGCCCGAGCATCCTTATTAGAACGAAAATACGAACCGTACCACAATAACGAAGACAGAATTCTATAATAGAGTTAGACGAACCTTACTACGAAGCGTTAGACGCTTAACAAAATAATAGAGGACAATCGCAATAAGCGAACTAGATACTACTAGGCGTAAACATTAAGATAACAACACTACAGATAATGCAATAGATAATAAAGTAGATAAGCGAGCTTATAGCACGGATTGCAAAGATTGAGACTACAAGTACCCTTACACCAGCTGAACCCACACCTACTCCTGCCGTAGATGCGACACCTCCACCTGTAATGCCTGCACCACCGCATAAGCTAAAAGGACTTAAAGACCCTAATGCGTTTAATAGTACACGAAGTTAATACTTGCTATAGAAATACTAGATTAAGGCAAAGCTAAGATTAGAACCTCGACGATTCCACACGAGCCAGCTTACGATTAACTATACCTTTAGTTGCACTACTAGTGATGCGAGAGCACGCGTTTTCCCTTGGGTTTCTATCTATGCCGCCTCGAGTACGCTTAGTGAGTTTTTCCAACATCTTAATAAAGCTTTTAAGGACCTATATATAGCTAAAACTGTGAGGAACAAGCTCTAGAATATACAGCAGAAAACACACAACGTGCGCGATTTTATGCAGGACTTTAACAAGGAAGCTCTCACGGCTGGTCTCTTTAACCACGCGATCCTAAAGAGTATGTTTCTAAACGCTCTTAACCACGAACTACGGACTGCTCTTGCGGGCACTATCTTCCCTAAAAGCACTATAATTAAGGAGATACAGTTACACATCGCTGCCGTCTTAGACAACCTATAGCGTCTTAAGCTAAGCAATAAGAGGAGAGATACGCCACAGCATACGACTACCCTAAGCTTCACTTCTTCTCTAGAACCTATAGACTAGGAACTAAGCTAATCTTAGGCCTAACGAGCTAAATAGGTCTCTTAGCAAGAAATTAATTAAAGACGAGACGACGGGTTATACCTACGATGCGGAAAGAAAAGTCACCTAATAAGCGCTTGTAAGTTAAAGCCTGCTTACAATCTTAACTAACAGCCAGCTTGAGCGACAAAAGCGATCGGCAAGACGAAGCTATCTACAGAACCTTATAACGTTAAAGACGATGCGACCACTATTAGCCTAGATAAAGAGACGGAAAAAGAGTAGCTCCTAATCAAAGTCGCGATTAGGAGCCTCCACGAGTAGGCAAGGACACAAGAATAGAATAGAAAAAGTTTAAGAAAGAGCATATATTAGCACCCCTAATCACGATCTACGTGCTAGTCAATTAAACTTACTATACCTCCGCGTTAATTAACTCTAGATGCCTCTCCTACGCCCTAATAACCCGTTTATTTGTAAGACGAGCTAAACTCGAGCGTATACTAATTCCACACAAGCCTATTATAGGAGTAAACGATTAAGTTAGCTAGGTAGACGAAGTCGCGAAGTTTAACTTTAATATAAACAGCTATACGGAGACTAGATTTGCGTACATAACACTAAACAACGCAGAAGAAGATATTATCTTAAGACGCCTATAGATAGATTAGAATAAAGTTACAATCGCTCCCGCGAAGAAGTTAATATACCTACACGCCTTAGGAATTAGAATCCGCAGTTAAGAAGGCAAGGCTCACCCGCTCGAAATCCGAGAAGTCGGCGCTACTAAATTTTAACGGTTAATAAAAATTGCTTAGAAGAAGAAGAAGACGAACTAAAGAGAAGCTATAAAGATATTTGCCGCGTTATTAGTAGATATTAATAAGGCTTTAGCCCTTAAGCTAAAGGTAGACATTAAGTTGTTAGTCCTAAAGCAATAGAGGAAACACCTAGCCCTTTTCGACCTAAAAGAAGCGAGTAGATTGCCTCCCTATCGTCCTAGAATCGACTATGCGATTAAGCTTAAGAAGGATAGAAAGAAGCCCGAGGTCCCTTAGGGACCACTATACAACATGTTAAAAGGAGAACTTTTAGTGCTACGGAAGGAGCTTACATCCTTACTAGACAAGGGCTTTATACGAGCAAGTAACTCCCCTACTGCATCCCTAATTCTTTTTGCGAAGAAGCTAGGAGGAGGTTTGCGACTTTGCGTTGATTACCGGGCACTAAACGCCCTTACGAAGAAAGATTGGTACCCCCTACTGCTTATTTAAGAGACATTGCACAACGTGGCGAAGGCTAGGTGGTTTACAAAGCTAGACGTTATTGCAGCCTTTTACAAGATTCGAGTTTAAGAGGGAGATAAATAGCTTACAGCCTTCCGCACGCGCTTTAGACTATTTAAATAGCTAGTTACCTCGTTTAAGATAGCTAACTCTCCTAGCACCTTTTAACGGTACATTAACTAGACGCTCTGCGAATATCTAGACGACTTCTGTACAGCGTACCTTGACGATGTCTTTATCTACACAAACAGCTCTCTCCAACAACACCGCGAACAGGTCGATAAGGTGCTCACACGGTTAAAAGAAGCTAGGCTATACGTTAATATTAAGAAGTGCGAGTTCGAAGTTGTGAGGGATCGATCAAGAAAGATTGGATTTGACAAGATACAAGCTATCGAGCTATCTACGTTGTGAGCCCGAACTTATGCTGTGGGCGCCAAGGCGCTAGTCCGATAAGATAAGGATCTTATCGATATGGGGGCCATGGGCCGAGCGAGTCTATGGATCCGTAACATTACCCCCCCCTTTCAGAAGACGGTTGCACCTGCAAGCCGTGAATGTCTTTTATTTTATGACGCTGTGCTTGATGCCGAGCAGTTATGTTGTGTC